GCTCCGTCTCGGCGGGAGCCGCTCTCTCCACAGAAGCTGCGCGAGTGGTTTGCTCGCCGCTGGAGGCGTGCTGCTGGAGATGGAGCTCCTCCGACTGCTGAGGGTGCTGGTGCTGCCGGTCCCGGAGCTGCTGAGCCTGCGGGTCCTACTGGAGCTGGAGCTGCTGAGCCTGGGGGTGCTAAGTCTGGAGCTGCTGAGCCTGGGGGTGCTGAGTCTGGGGCTGCTGAGCCTGGGGGTGCTACGTCTGGAGCCGCTGAGCCTGGGGTTTCTCCTGGTGCTGCGTCTCGGCGGGAGCCCCTCTCTCCACAGGAGCTGCGCGAGTGGTTTGCTCGCCGCTGGAGGCGTACTGCTGGAGCTGGAGCTTCTTCGACCGTCGAGGGTACTGGTGCCGCCGGTCCCGGAGGTGCTACGCCTGCGGGTCCTACTGGAGCTGGGGCTGCTGAGGGCGTTGGTGCTGAGTCTGCTGCTGTCTGTCCTGACGGTGGTTCTGCTGCTGGTGCTGCTGGAGGTCCTGCCGCTTGAGGTGTTGGTGGCGCTGGTGCTGCCGCTGAGGGTGCTGGTGCTGTCCCTGCTGAGTCTGGAGCTGCCGCGCGGCCTCGGCCGTACTTCGTTCCGCTTCTGCAGCAGGTTCTTGGTCTTTCTCCTCCGGTAGAGTGTCCACAGCCTGTCCAGTCGCAGTCACTGTTGGAGCCTACCTCCCCACTACCTGCTCCCTCTCCTTACACTGGTCCTACTGGAGGTCTTGCTGAGCGTCGTGAGCCTGCGTCTCGTCCCGCGTCGCCTGTTCGTGCTGCCCGCGCTAGTGGTCGTGGTTCGCGTCCGCGTCCTCCTCCTGTCCCTGGCACGCACCGGATGTCTCTGCGTCCGTCCACTGCTCCTCTGCGTGCCCCTTTGCCTTCTCCTCCTGAGTCCTCCCTTCCTGTGCTTACCGACCCAGAGTCGGACTCCCTTCGTGCTGCCAGTCCTACTGTCACGCGTCTGCTTGCTACTGTCGTCACTGACCCCTCTTTTGAGTCCGCTGCTGCGTCTGCTCTTGTCGCTGAGCTCGTCGACTTCGCTGCTCGCTGTCGTCTAGACTACGCTGCTAGTCTTGTTGCTGAGTCTGCGTCTGTCTGTCCTCCGTCCGTCGGGGGTGAGTGTGCTCTTGGCACGGACGTCCTAGAGGACAGGCAGGAGGAGTTCCAGTGTCTGGCTGCTGCTTCACCTCATCTCGCGTCTGTACTGCTTGATCCTGAGGGAGACCCGGATGCACTAGACATCCCGACTCCGCGCTCTTACGCGGAGGCCGTAGAGGGTCCCTACTCCTCTCAGTGGCAGGCAGCTATGGATGCAAAGATGGCTTCCTGGAAGTCCACAGGCACCTACGTTGACGCGGTTCCCCCTCCTGGGGCGAACATCGTCAGTGGCATGTGGATCTTCAGGGTGAAGCGGCCGCCGGGCTCTCCACCTGTCTTCAAGGCGCGGTACGTCGCTCGTGGCTTCAGTCAGCGGCAGGGAGTTGACTACTTTCATACCTTCTCTCCCACCCCGAAGATGACCACTCTTCGGGTGCTGCTGCACATAGCCGCTCAGCGCGACTACGAGCTTCACTCTCTCGACTTCAGTATTGCGTTCTTGCAGGGGAGCCTGCACGAGGAGATCTGGCTGCGCCGTCCACCTGGCTTCACTGGGACTTTCCCTCCTGGCACCCAGTGGAGCCTCTGACGGCCAGTCTACGGTCTCCGCCAGGCACCACGTGAGTGGCACGACACACTGAGGACTACACTTGCGGCCCTTGGGTTTGCTCCTTCTACTGCTGACCCGTCGCTGTTTCTGCGCACCGACACTTCACTGCCGCCGTTCTACATCCTCGTATACGTCGACGACTTGGTCTTTGCCACAGCGGACACTGCTGGACTCGCCTACGTGAAGTCCGAGCTGCTGAAGAGACACACGTGCACAGACCTGGGTGAACTGCGCAGCTACCTTGGCTTGCAGATCACTCGGGACAGAGCACGCCGCACCATTACCTTGACTCAGTCACACATGGTGCAGCAGGTCCTTCAGCGCTTCGGCTTCACGTACTCCTCGCCTCAGGCCACTCCTCTGTCTACTCGCCACTCGCTCTCAGCTCTGCCTTCGGATGAGTCCGTAGAGTCGAGTGGCCCGTACCCAGAGCTTGTTGGCTGCCTCATGTACCTGATGACCTGCACACGACCTGACCTTGCATACCCTCTTAGCATTCTTGCACGCTATGTTGCTCCTGGGAGACACCGACCAGAGCACATGGCTGCAGCGAAGAGGGTATTGCGCTACCTGTGCAGTACGTCGGGCATGGGGCTAGTGCTTGGAGGGCGGAGTCCAGTGGTACTTATAGGTCACGCGGACGCTTCTTGGGCTGACGACCAGGCTACGCAGCGGTCGTCACAGGGTTACACCTTCAGCCTTGGCTCCGGCTCTGTCTCGTGGCGGGCTACTTGCTCGTCTTCGGCTCTCAGCTCGAGTTGTGAGGCTGAGATCTACGCAGGGGCCATGGCTGCACAGGAGCTTCGCTGGCTCACCTACCTGCTGACTGACCTTGGAGAGCCACCTCGTTCTCCTCCAGTGCTGTACGTAGACAACAAGGCCATGCTGGCCTTGTGTCGAGAGCAGAGACTGGAGCACAGAACGAAGCACATTGCTCTTCGTTACTTCCTTGCTCGTGAGCTAAAGCAGCGTGGACAGTTGCGGCTTGCGTACGTGGCCTCTGAGGCCAACACTGTCGATGTGTTCACCAAGACACTCGCGCCTTGTGACCATCAGCGTTTCTGCACGCAGCTGGGTCTTGTGCCTGTCTTGCCTCACTTGCTCTCCTCTTGACTTTACTTGTACTGTCACATATATATACCTGCTCTTGCTTGTCTAGCTTTATATATATATGTGTGTACTCCTGCATGTGAACTGGCCTTGTGGCCTTGCTCTTGTGCTCGGACTGTGTGGTGACTTTGTGATCCACCCTGAGCTTTGCTTTGCTTTGCTTGACTGGTCTTGTGACCCCTTGTTCTCCCCCATTTTGCCTATGGGGGTGTGTCAGAATATATATGTAGCTTATGCTGTTGTGTAGGCTACAGTGGGGTATACCATAGGGGGTACAACCCAATTAGGGTTTTGCTATTTGTACTCACTTCACTCATAGTTCATTCATTCTCGCTCTATTTTCCACAGGCGGGGCCGCGTCTGAAATTGCGGCGGGGCCGCGTTCGAAAGGGGCGGCGGGGCCGCGTCTGAGAGGGCAGCGGGGCCGCGAGGGAAGGGCGACACGGAGGGTCGCTCGAGAGAGAGGAAAAAAAAAGGTTAGTGCGCCTCGGGGCGCGCTTCGGTGGGCCCTAGGCGAAGTTCCCACAGGGAACCCGCTCTATACCATGTGAGAATACTAGAACAGGAATGAAATGACTAAGTGAAAGTTGGGTACAAATACAAACCCTAGAGAGCTGTACCCCATATGTGCTACCCCACTATAGCCTACAACAGCTATGTCATATATATCTGACAATGATGTACGGTTCTGCTGAAGTACGAGACTCATATGTGACAAGGCTTTCGTTTGCACCAATTCGCTTTTCGCCATGTGCGATTCGCTAAAATCGTTTTGGCCATGTGCGATTGGCTATCTAGTTCACAATTTAAGGGTTTTTATAAGCCCCCAATAAATTCAACTGTCGTGATAGCGTCGACAAAGTAGTGTATTTTGGTGCCCCTACTCGAGTAGTTTCATCCGGAGGAAATCGCTAGTGCTGGCCCGTACATACGTGGGTGTATCGAAAAGAATTTTCGAGGAAGTTTCGTTCCGATAACCTTCCATTCAGGCTGACGGAAACCCATGTATAACTGGTTTCAGAGTGGATCCCCGATACAAGTCTGAGGCTCAGCATGCACTACTATGACTACTCTGAAATTTCAGACTAGTCACTTAAAAAAACTCTGAAAAATCAGACAGGGTGCATAAAAAAATTCTTTGAGTTCAGACTAGGTACAAAAAAAAAAATCTGAACGGACTCTGAATCAGACTCCTAAGTCTGATATCTAGGGCCCTGCTTCTAGGTCCTACAATAATTGTGTGACAATTATTGTAGGGGCCACAATCATTGGAGCTTAGCATTATTGGAGGGTAGAGGGTACAATTATTGGTACACCATTATTGGTCTGAATGGGTCATTCTGGAGGGGTAGCTGGATGCATATATACATTGCTCTGTCACTTCTTCAACATCATTGAGTCATCATTGAGTTATCATTGTGTCATCCTTCTACTTTTCAATGATCAATGCAAGATTTCTATCTTGTTCTTTTCTACAAACACATTTCCGCTACGCTGGCACTATGCCTTTCTAGCAAAACATTTCAGTTGGAAAAAAAAAATAGTCCACAGGATTAGTTGAAATGTAGCACTGATATGCCAGGATAGTGTCACAAGTAGCACTGACGGTTCAGCATACTTAAAACCAAAATGCAAAATAGTGAACCCAACGCCAACTTGAAAGAGGGCTCGCCGTGCGAAACAATTTTGGAACCAAACCGACAAGTTTCCAGTGTTTCATTGAGAGCGTTTTTTGCAGATCGAACACATCTGATTGGTTCCCGCCAAAACCAAAAGAAGGAACACAGCCGTCAGGCGTCGCATATCAGTTTTGGAAGCTGCACAACACTAGCATTGCGATCGCTCATGCACGTCCTTGCGATTTTAGGCCCAACTTGGGGTTCAAGTTGGGTCTGGGTGAACAACTACTAGTTCTTCCGATCATACATCTCTGCTTCTTAATTATGTGTAGCATGTCTAGCCATCGAACCGTCAACTTAGGCCGTTGTTGTTTCAATTTAGACGCGTAGTGAAGCTGGCATGGTTGTGTAGTACTTTGTGACGTTTCGAATGCCCTCTCGCCGCCTTCCTATCTCATCTCGCTCGCCCTCCCGTTCCGATCGACCGTCCTGATGCCGTCCCATTGACCATCCTGACGCCGTCCCATCGACCGTCGCGTCGCGATCATGTCGTCCGTCCCGTCGCCCTCCTACCGTCATCTCCATTACCCCTCTCCTCCAATCACCCTCGCGATTTTCCCATCGCAAATCTCTCTCTCGCCGCTCCCTTTCCTGAACCAATCGCCTTCTCCTCTCCCTTCTCGTCGCTCTCTCTCTCGCCGCCCCCTTTCCGTTGCAATCGCCCTCTCCTATCCCTTCCCGTCGCTCTATCTCTCTCCCCTCCCTTCCCGTCGCTCTATCTCTCTCCCCTCCCTTCCCGTCGCTCTATCTCTCTCCCCTCCCTTTCCGTCGCTCTATCTCTCTCCCCTCCCTTTCCGTCGCTCTATCTCTCTCCCCTCCCTTTCCGTCGCTCTATCTCTCTCCCCTCCCTTTCCGTCGCTCTATCTCTCTCCCCTCCCATCCCGTCGCTCTATCTCTCTCCCCTCCCTTCCCGTCGCTCTATCTCTCTCCCCTCCCTTTCCGTCGCTCTATCTCTCTCCCCTCCCATTCCGTCGCTCTATCTCTCTCCCCTCCCTTCCCGTCGCTCTATCTCTCTCCCCTCCCTTGCCGTCGCTCTTGCTCTCTCCCCTCCCTTCTCGTAGCCTAAGATGCAGCCGTCGCAAATTCCTCTCCCACCCACCATCACCCACCCCATCGCCTTCCCGCTCGCCACGAAACGCCTTCTCGTCCCCCGCCCACTTTCTCCTCCCATCGCCTGCCTGGTCGCCTTCGCGCTCGCACTCAAACGCTCTCCCCGCGCCCTTCCTCTCTCCCTTCCCATCACCGACCTCGTCGCCCTCGTGCTCGTCCCGAAATGCCTTCCCATCGCCTTTCGTCTCTTCTCCCCAATCATTAATCTCTGAAACGCTCTCCATCGTCGGCCAATCCGCCCTTCGCTCTTGCTTTGCAATGCCCTCTCCACGCCCTTCCTCCCTCCCTTCACAATCTGTCTTCCCTCCCCGCATCCCGTCGTTCCTCTCTACCCTCCCATCCCGTCGTTCCTCCGCTCTACCCTCCCATCCCGTCTTTCTTCCTCTCTCCCCTCCCATCCCGTCGTTCCTCCTCTCTTCCTTCCTATCCCGTCGTTTTTCCCTTCTCCCCTCCCATCCCGTCGTTCCCCCTCTCTCCCCTCCTCTCCTGTCAGCCCCCTTGTCCCCAGTCCCTTCTCTTCGCCGTCGACCAATCAACCGTCCCGTCGCCCTTTCTCTTTTCGTACATCATTAATTTCTTTATTTATATCTTCTTCGCCTGATTTCACCTGTGTGTGCCATGGATTTTGCTTGATCATGCCAGTGTTCGCGCAGGATTTTGCGAGTTTTTGCCTGTGCGCGCTGGATTTTGCCTGTGTGTGCGCTGTTTTTCGCATATGGGAATTCTTGTGAAGTTACGACGGCTGCTATGTTGAATGTGGGGTTGCAGCCTTGCGCCAAATTCGCATACGAATGTGGGTGAAAGTCGCCACCAATAAGATTTGTAAACAAGTTCCTCATGTTTCCCGTTCAGATCAAGACTCGTCTGGGATGAAAAAAAAGTAAAAACGCACAGGCCGTCAACTTTTCAAACGTTCGTAACGAGCTTGTGTTTTCAAGTGGACCCAACTAGAAGGGGGGGGTCACTACTGCAGTCCTGACAATTCAGGACAAAACTAGGCTTCCTACTCAACTGCCCTGAGGCCTCAGGGTACCCTCGAACGAATCTGAGGCCCTGCTGGTCTTCCAAAATGTTGCAATGTGGTGGTTCAGGACTGCATGAGTGTCGGTCTGCCCCAAGCTGAACACTTGCCGGGAGATTCAGGCAAACAATATGGTATGGTAGTGGTAACTTGGACCATTCTAATCTAACGTGTAGTACAGGAACTTCACTAATTCATATGTTTTTTGGCGGTCTTTGCTTCACAAATACAGGGTAACTAGACCACAACGCAACACCACAAATGCACTTCTAAGACCAGCGTGGCTGCGTGGTGAATTAGGCAGACAGGAGTAGATCCGATGAAAGGCCATCAACTTCCCGCAAGCCCTTCCCTTGCCTTGCGCTCCCTTCTCTCCTCGGCCTGCTGCTTGCGCCTGGCCCTGAAGAACTCCCTCATCACCTCCGCACACTCTTCCCCGAGCACGCCCCCTGTCACGCGCACGTGCGGATGGAATGGGTGCACCGGCCCTCCCTTTCCCACACCCGGGTGATCCAACGCCCTCTGGCCCTCACCCATCAACGCCGCACTCCCCCTTGCCTTGTCCAGCCCTTCTACCTCCACACGCCCAGAGCCCAGGCTCTTTTCCTCTCCTCTTTCATCGGCCTGGCTGTCATCGCCCCTGTCCGCACCGTTGCTTCTCACACACTCCCCACCTTGTGCCATATCACCTCCTCCTCCCTTCTCATCACTCTTTCCTACCACCTCATTCCTCACCACCCCTTGGCTTCTATCCCCACCAGCTTCCACGCCCCCTTCCTTCACAGCCCCTTCCCCGGACCCGTCCTCGCTCTCCACCGCTCCACGCGCCCCACTCTCCTCCTCGCTCCCCCCCGCCTCGCCGTCTGTCCTCCTCCCCCTTCTGCGGCTGCGCCGGCCAGGTGTGCCCTGTGCGGGAGCAGATCCGGGTGGCAGGCGGTGAGAGGGAGAGCCGTGTGCTGAAGGGCGTGGCGGGAACAAGCTGTGATGTGAGAGGACAGCATGGGGCAGCAGGGCGGGGCAGCACGGGGCAGCAGTGGAGGTGGGGAGGGGGGGAAAGGTAATGAAGAGTTGGAAGGATGAGCGGTGTGCGAAAAGTGCAAGAGGAACAGCCCACGAGGTGGTAATGAGAGTTGAGGCAGGTTGAGAGGAGGGCGGCGAGAGGTTAAGAGGAGGGCGAAGGGAGGGTTGAGAGGAGGGCGAAGGGAGAGTTGAGAGGAGGGCGAAGGGAGGGTTGGGAGGAGGGCGAAGGGAGGGTTGGGAGGCAGGCAAAGGGAGTGTTGGGAGGCGGGCGAAGGGAGTGTTAAGAGGAGAGCGACGAGAGGGTTGAGAACAGGGCGAGGTTGATTGCAGGCTCCTTACTTCGACTGCCATGAACCTCGCCCCAGGTAATGCATCCGTGGCACACCACAGCAACCGCTCCACTCCAGCGTGCCTGCCCTCTACCTTTCTTCTCACACCTGTAGATTGATACAGCCTATCTCGCTCCCCCTACCCCTTCCCTCTCCCACTCGGCACAGCTGCACCGCATCTCACCGCACCTCACCGCTCACCTGATCCAGCTGCCATCAGCCCCCAGCAGCGGGTTGGGAGCGCCCCACACGAGGCGCCCCACCCTCGCCTGCAGAATAGCCCCCGCACACATGGGGCACGGCTCTAGGCTCACGTATAGTGTGCAGTGCTGGGGGGGAATGGTAGGGGGAATAGGGGGGATAGAGGGGAACGGAAGGTGTGAGTGGGGAAGGGTAGAAGGGATGGCCCCCACACACATGGGGCATGGCTCTAGGGTCACGGATAGTGTGCAGCGCTGGGGGGGTGGGGTGGGGGAGGGCATGCAAGACGGGTGGTGGCGGGGAGGAGGGTCGGGAGAAACGAGCATGAGAATGTGCAGGATGACCCTAGGGGCTATAGGGTCACGTGCAGCGTGCCGTGCTGAGATGGAATGGTAGGGGGGATAGGGGAATAGGGTGCGTGATTGTGAATGGGGATAAATGTCCGCGCACATGGGGCACGGCTCATATGTCACGTACAGCATGCAGTGCTGGGAGGGAGGGGGGGTGGGTGTGCATGGGTGGTGTCTAGGAGGAGGAGGCGTCAGAAGGAGAGGGTGGGGAAGGATGCCCCCCCGCACACATGGGGCACGGCACGGCTCGAAGGGTAGGATTAGGGATCGGTGAGCCTGAAGACACGTGTAGGAAAGTCAGCTGGCTTTTAGGCGGCAGTGGGACTTGCCTGCAGTTGGCGCCAGTGGGACTTGCCTGCAGTTGGCGCCAGTGGGACTTGCCTGCAGTTGGCGCCAGTGGGACTTGCCTGCAGTTGGCGCCAGTGGGACTTGCCTGCAGTTGGCGGCAGTGGGACTTGCCTGCAGTTGGCGCCAGTGGGACTTGCCTGCAGTTGGCGCCAGTGGGACTTGCCTGCAGTTGGCGCCAGTGGGACTTGCCTGCAGTTGGCGCCAGTGGGCGAGGTGGGTGCATGCCGCTCGGATGCACAGCATCTCCGCATGGGCCGTGGGGTCCCCACTGGCCTCGCTGCTGTGCAGTGCAGTGATGGGAGTGGGGGCGGTGGAGCGGAGCGGGAAGGGGAAGTTGAGAAGGAATGCATGATGTGGTGTGGGATGGGAACACAAGGCTGGAAGGGAAGATGGGATTGACATGGGAAAAGAATCATAGGAAAAACAGGGAGAGGGGGGTGGACTGGGGGGATGGTTGAGTGCAATACCATGTTGATTGTTGCAAAATGCATTGCTTTGTATACACGATAATCTGGGATCCCAAAGAGAGCAGAAGCTGGTAATTTCCAAGCTTCACAATGAGGTTCACATGACAACGGAGCCATGGGAGAGTAGAGGAGCAGGGCTCACAGGTTGTGTGCGCGGGCAACAAGGGCGCCACCGTCCATCACCATGACCGCTCCCACTGGCACCTCCCCCTCCGCTGCTGCCTTCCGTGCCTCTTCCACTGCCTCCCTCATCCACTCTCTGTCCCTCACCGCTGCCTCCTCCTCCTCCTCCTCCTCCTCCTCCTCCTCCTCCTCCTCCTCCTCCTCCTCCTCCTCCTCCTCCTCCTCCTCCTCCTCCTCCTCTTCTTGCTCTTCCCTCTCCCCCTTCATGTCCCCAGCGTTCCCAGAATGAATCCGCGCATCACGGCTATCATGCCTTGCAGCGCCGTCATGGATTGCACTCTGCCCGCCCGTCAACCGCCCTGCTGCGCGCTGCTCTACTCCCCCACACACTCCACCACCCCGCGCGACCCCACTCCTCTCCGCCCCCCCATCCCCCCTCCATCCAATTTCCCAACCCCAGACAGCACAGCACACACAGGAGCACGCAGGCAACATAAGCACAGTGGAGATGCGGAATTCATGGCTCTGTGTTGAGTCGACCTAGCATGTGGATGTGATCTGAAACTCTCAGTTGGTTTTAAAACTCACTCCTCGTCATCCCCCTTGTCTAATGCCATGCAATTGCAATCCCATGCCAAACCATGCCAAACAATGCCATGAAATCCCATGCCATCCCATACCATGCCATGCCGTCCCATCCCATGCCATCCCATCCCATGCCATCCCAACCCATGGCATCGCAAGGTCTATAGACCCCACCTGCACGCCGTCCACCCATGGATCAGACGCCTCGGCCTCACTATCGCCACCACCACTGCTGCTGACGCCAAGGGTGCTATCGTCGCCACTATCCACACCGGCAGGCGTGGACACGGAATGCGCGAGGCGTGCAGCAGACAGGGATGGCGCGCAACATGGTGACCGCCCGCGCATCACATGCGCCATACCGCCCCCCCCATACGCTACATCCCCGCGCACCCCATGCGGCCATGCGGGGCTGTCCCACTGCCTGCCACTACGCATAGTCCGCGCCGCTGCTGCACCCTCCCCATCCCGTCCGCACCATCTCTGCCACCGCGCTTCGAGCTTGCTGGTCGCGCGTTGACTGATTCTTTCCCCTTTGATTGGGCGATTCTCTGAGGTACGCGCTAAGACGGCGGCTTCAGGTGCGGCGGTCCAGACAGCGGGTTGTGCGGCTGCGGGGGAGCGGTGACCCGCTCCTCTCCGCAGACCGCATGACCGTGGCTTTGTTGCGCCGCCAGCAGCTACACGACTTGCGGAGGATGATGCGGGCCGCGGTGCGGGGATTGAAACAACGAGTTGATGCGGCTTGCACGAGAGGAACGCTCGAGAGCAGGCGAGCGCCATGGCGGGCTGTGAGGGAAGGAAGGGAAGGGCATGAAGCGGAGGGCAGAAAAGGAAAGTGCAGGAAGCGGCGGGAAGGAAGGGAAGTGCAGGGATGGTTAGGGCAGGGAAGGTATGAGCGGGAAGGGAAGGGCGGGTTGGGAAGGCGATGAAGGTAATGGCAGCAGGTGATGTAAAAAGGCAGGAAGAAAAGGCCACAAAGTGTGGGGCTGTAGGGGAAGGGAAGCAACGGAAGGGCGGGAGAAGGGCGGCATGGATAGAGGCGGAACAAATGGGCTGGAAGGGAAAGGGAGAATGCGAAGGGAAAGGCTGGACGTCCTGGGCAGGCATTGTAGGAGGGGAGGGTAGGGGCACATAGTGGGTGGGAGAACTCACAGTGCAGGGGGAAGCCTAGCTTCTCTTTGTGCCCCGCTATGCTGGAGATTTCTGGTGTCGGCCCTCACTCCCCTACACTTCACCCGGCCATCACTTGCTGAGGGGTGGTAGCCGTCAGCAGCAGTTGAAGCAGCGGTGGCTGGCAATAGCTACAAAGGACACGAAACTGGAGAGCGGGCAGGGGGCATGGTAGGGCATTGCAAGGAAGGTGAGCGAAATGAATGAAACGGGAGGGGAGGAGCGTGCAGGTTAGGGCATGGCGATGGGGTGGCAGGAAGGGGAGATGGGGAGGTTGGAAAAGGATATTAGGAGGCAGGCTGAGGGAAAGCCGAGGTTGGAAGGGGGTATTAAGGCAGGCAGGAGGGTGGTTGGAAAGGGCAACAGAGAGGCAGAACGGGGGAGTTTCGGAGTCACTAACGCGAGACGCGGAGTGGAGATGGGGGAGGCGGGAAAGGGAGAATGGGAGGCGGGATGGGGCGGGCGGGATGGGGAGAATGGCTGGCGGGTCGTTGAGTTGGTGGGCGGAAAGGGAAGTTGGCGAGGCGGCCGTCGCCATCTCACCTGCGATGGCGGCGGCTAGTGAGCCGAATGAGATGGCGCGAGAGCACGCCAATCGGCAGTGTGGGGCGCGGCGAGCGTATTCAGAATGGCGTGAGTGTTAGGGTTGGTTCGCCCAACCACAGAACCTAAGGCGAAAGCTTCTACGACGGCAGAATGAAGGCGACGGAAGCGTGTGGACTATTCTAGAGAGAAACGGTGGAAATCGGCCTACGGCGTGAGAAGGGAGAGAGAAATCGAGAAGGAATGTGTGAGAAGGTGGAAGAAGCATCGAGATTGAAGTTGGCGAGGGGAAATTGTGGTTCGAGCTTGAGGCGTGTTCGAGAAGGTGCTGGATTCGGACTCAGACGAGTGTTCGCCGAATTCGGTTCGGTTCCGTGTGCGACTCGGGGTGAAACGAGGCGCACGCGTTTACTTGGGAAACAAGTGAAGTTACGAATCTCATTTTGTGTCTTGCCTGACCATAAACCTGTTTGTACTCATTCTGGAAACACAACATTGGACAACATTGATCGGTTGGAGATTCTGAAAATTGCTGAAGGGTATTGACAACTTCAAGCAGAGCTGCGCATATCATTGGATTCGTGAGATCGTGGAGAACAAGATAGGCGATAGCAAGTAGAGTATTGCCGACTAAGGTGTTCACGAACCTAAGAGTGAGGGGGCAGCGTGGGATGGCGTGGCGACGATGCGACGGGCGTCGAGGCGAGGCAGCACGGCGCGACGCGGCCTCTAGAACTGGCGCGGCGAGGCCGCGTGCAAGGGCTTGATGCGGGCGCGAGATGCGGACGTCCTAAACCTAAGATTGGCTATGGTCGAGTCGCACTTAGTGGATAAGCCGTTTCTGGATAATTATCTGGGTAGTATGCGATGGGCATGTTGCACGAGTGGCCTTCTGAGGAGGTGTACCAGCTCCGCCTGCATTACACGAATTATGAGTGGGTGTCATCGTCAAACAACACGAGGATGAAACTGCTGAAATATTACGCACTGCAGGTCGTACCAGGTTCTTACCACCAGCACTTTGGGAGTTCAGGACTTCGACTGCGAGTGTCAACAGTCTCCAACATCTCATTGCTGAGTGCCTGATTGTTTCGAGGTTTTCACGATTGCCGTCCCCATACATATCACATGTTCGATGGCTTTTTCGAGCTGGCGAGCGATTGTGCTGCCCGAATGGAAGCTGGTTACCAGCGACGAGCATCGTCGGCGTGCATTGGGGTTGTCGTCGTTTGGTTGGTCCTGCCATTCTCGTCTGTTTCCGTCAGTCAGGCAAAACGGCGACGCGCAGGATGTTGTTTGTTGGAGCAGTGCAAACGGAATGAGTGACCAGGGTGAGAGATGGGGCATTTGGGAGATCAGCGGCCGAGATCATGCTCTGTTTCAAATCAGAGGCCACGATGCGCTGAGAAGCAAATCAGCAGCGAACATCAGCCGTCGATGGACAAATCGAAGATGAGATGATACAGGCAAACCTGACCAGGCTTGTGCATCCAAACCACTCTGCTCATTGTGCTTCAATCCAATCTGCTGTGATGCTGAGAACCCTCGCTTCATGCATTCTCATCCAGCCACTTCTGATCACCAAAATGCTCAAAGCTCGGATTTCCAGGTGAGGGTTTCGCAACTTTCAGCAATGGAGTTCCGTTTTTTCACACATACAGGCCTTCGAAGGGCGAGCAGACGTTATTTAGAGTGAAGCTCTTCAAGTAAAGCTGTTTCACGAGAGTATTCGCGAAAGCAAGAATGCAAGTTGCTGAGCGGTTTTCGAAATAGGCCCGCTTTTGACCCTTGAAAGCCAGAGTCAATCCCATCGGCACGTCGCGAATAGATAAAAGTAGTCGCGATGGACGGCGACGATTCAAGTAGCCAATTATCGGGGTCTGGGAAGCAAAGGAAGATCCGCAAAACTCCGCTGCAGCTGGAGAGACTGGAAGAGGTCTTCGCTGGTAATACTCGCTCGTCGTAGTGGGCGTAGATTATTCCTGCCACTCTCAATCTTCTATTTTGTTGAAGCTTACGATCATTATCTTACACAGTCGGATCCATCTAGCTGGTGTAAGTGGTATAGCATTTGGTGGAATTAGGCGTGATTTCTTGTTCCGTCCGACACGTCGGCAGAGACATGTCATCTCGTACAAGCAACTCGCAAATCCTTCTCCGCCAATGATAGCAAGTCACCTTTGTTTATTCGTCGCCCTTCCGCGCCCCCTCCACCCGCCACCGGCCACCCGCCCCACGTCCCGCGCAGTGCACAAGTACCCGTCGGACGACCTGCGCGCGTCGCTGTGCGCGGAGCTCGCCCTCACGGACCGCCAGCTGCAGATGTGGTTCTCGCACCGCCGCCGCAAGGACCGCATCCTCGAGAACTCCGTCGCCGCCGCCGCCTCCGCCGCGCCCAAGCCGCCCGCCACAGCATTCCTGCGCACCGCCGGCCCGCTGGACCAAGGCCCCGCACGCCCCGGCCTCACCACCCCCTTCTCCATCACCGCCGCCGCCGCCGCCGCCGGCAGCGGTGGTGGATCCGACGCGGCGGAGTCACTAGCGCCGCCTAGGCTGGGCGGCGATGCGAATGCGGAGGCGGGCGCAGAGCAGCCAGGGGGCGGTGCGCGCGTGAGCGGCCTCCTTGCGGGACGCGCGCTCTCCACGGACGCAGCCCCCGGCGCGGTGGCGCGTGCGGGCGTGTTCCGCATCCCCGCCCTCCCCTCAAAAACTCTCCCCGCGCCTCCTGGCGCGTCTCCCGTCCTCTTTGGCCGCCCCCTCGCCCCCGCGCCTGTACCCGCAGCGCCCCTCCCGCCTGCCCCCGCGGATTCCGCCGATGCGTGTGGCAGGGGGGGCGAGGGGAGGGCGGGGGAGGGGTACGTGTGGTGGAACGGGGGGTGCATGCGGAAGCTGTCAGTGGTGGGCGCGGGCAGGGCGCAGAGGGAAGGGGGGACGGCGGGGGAGTCAGGGCTGATGGCGCACGAGGAGCTGGAGGAGCAGCACGACGCCAGGGCTGTGCGCGCTGCCAGGGGGCTCGCCTGCTCCGGCGCTCGTGGCGCTGGTCACGCCAGTGCTGCCGTGAGTGGCGCTGCTGCTGCTGCGGCTGCTGGAGGTGCAGTGTTGGGTACCGGCTCGGTTGGTGCTGGTGCAGGGGGTGGTGGTGCTGTGGCGTGTGCTCGCACCACACCTCGGGTCCCTGGGAGTGGCAGGGAGAACGCAGGGGGCGCAAGGGGGAGGGGCGTGCAGGGCGCTCAAGGCGCAAGGGGAGCGGTAGGCAGATTGGGGGCGGAAGGGGGTGCGTGGAAGGGTGTGGAGGAGCAAGGGGCGCCGTCTGACGCATACCCTCCTGCAAGCAGTGCGCCAGGTGGCCTTGCCAACGGCCAATCAGCATTTGCCAGCTCAGCAGCATGGCAGAGTGAGCAGAACAGCTGGAGAAGGCAGGATGGGAGCGGGGAGCGGGCGGCAGGCGGGGAGGGGGAGGAGGGGGAGGACGAGGACGAGGAGCAGGCGGAGGCGGTAGAGAGGGTGAGGAGGGGCATGGGAGGCGAGTACCGGTTGGAAGGGCCGCCGCTGAGTGCCGTGTTTGACCCCGTGCCCGCCCTGCGCTTCAACCTCACTGTTGGTGCGATATGCCTCGCCCTCGCCCCCTCTTGCCACTCCCTGCTTCCTGTTTATCCCTCCCAAGACGCGCGCCACGACATCTGTGCCTGATTCAAATCGACCCATGCAGCATTCACACACGTACTGATCGGTGCAATGCGGTTCTGTGCTGTGACAATGCTTTCCTCCCTGCCTTGCCTTGCCCCGCTGTGCGTGTGTGTGTGAGCAGTGCGCAAGGTGAGGGTGGGTCCAGGCACGGCCCAACAGGGGGCAGGCGAGGGCAGCGAGGAGAAGGGATTGGGGGGACAGGGCAGGGAGGGACAGACTGGGGAGGGGCTGCATGGCGCAGCGGAGGTGAGGGCAAGGCGTTGTTCACGTGCCTCGCTCTTGCTCTCCTGCCTCCCTGCTGCTCCCCTCTCCTGCCTCCCTGCTGCTCCCCTCTCCTGCCTCTCATCGCATCTGCCGCCTGTATTTTTCGCTCTCTCTGTCTTCCGTCCTCTCTATCTCCCCTGCACCCTCCCCTCCCTTTCATCTGCGAGGCATGGAGCAGCCCACAGCCAGCACTGCCCCCCCGCCTTCTCCATTTCCCTGGCCTTCTCCTTCCATGTCATGCCTGCTCCTTGGCCCCTGGGCGCGCCTTCCTTGCTTTCCAACCACGGCCCCATTGGTTGCGCCCCCCTGTCCCCCCGCAGGCGTCCACTATCACTGCCACCTGCCCTCCCCTGCACGTGCTGGGGCCGTCACACGCGCTCCCCACCCCTACCGCTGCCAATGGGGCACTGCACCATACCGCACCTGCCGCACCTGCCACGCCCGCACCACCTGCTGCCGTTGCTGACGGGGCTCCGCACCCTTCCACTGCAGCTGGCTGCGCGGCTGCTGCTGGTCGCGTTGCTGGTGTGCCTGGGCATGCGGGTGCAGGGCTGGTAGGCAGGGCGGAGCGAGTGACGCACGAGGAGCAAGAGGAGGGGCACGAGCGGGAGGAGTGGGTAGAGGAGGGGAGTGGGGAGGAGGGGAGTGGGGAGGAGGGGGTAGAGGAGGGGAGTGGGGAGGAGGGGGCAGACCTGCTGCATCTGCTGACTGCTGCTGCCTCGGGGTCGCCGGGCTTTGCTGCTGGGGTAGGGAAGGGTGCGATGAATGGCGTGGGGGAGAAAGGGAGAGGAGGAGCGGGTGGGAGCATGGTGGTTCGCGGGAGTAGAGGCGTGGAGAAGGGGGTGCAGGCGAATGGACTTGATTGCAGGGTGAGGAATCGAGGAACAGGTGTGGAGAACGGTGGTATGAGATTAGTGGGTGGGTTAGAGGGAGGGGATGAAGGGTTGTGGGAAGGGAAGAAGAGGGGGGGGTTGGGAGTGGGGGGTAGGGATGCTGCACCGACGGAGGAAGAAGAGGAGGCAGAGGAGGAGGACGACGAGGAGGGAGAGGAGGATGAGGGGGAGGAGGAGGAGGAAGGGGAGGAGGCTTCACAAGAAGAGTCACGATCATTTGGGGAGAGAGGAAGCGAGGATAAGTCTGTGAACAAGAGGCGACGGGGGGCAGGTGGCTTGGATGGCGGGGTTGGGGTAGCTCCCGGGACCATGGGGGATGGCGAGGAGGAGGCGGATAGGTCACAACGAGGCGAGCTGGCAGGGGACGGGGCGAAGCAGAGCGGCACAAAGAGGAAGAAGGTGAGCAGGGTTGCATGCACGGTGGCTAACACCCCCAACGTTGGGCTCACTTGTGTGCCAGCCTGTGCCAGCCTGTGCCAGCCTGTGCCAGCCTGTGCCAGCCTGTGCCAGCCTGTGCCGGCCTGTGCCAGCATGTGTTGGTAAGTGTGGTGCGGGGCGGGCCATGCCGCAGCCTTCAGAGCAGCTTCTCCGCCCTTCTAAACAGCCAGTCTTGTGCTGTGATGCCGTGGGGACACTGGGAGGGCAGTGCTGTATCATGCAATGCCGTGCCTCCCACATCCTTTTTTCCGATTGCCAACGCTCACTTGTTCTCATCGTTTTCCGCTGCTTTGCTGCATGCCTGCCTGTCTCTGCGGTGTGCCCTCTGGTGCCTTGTGTGGTGTGGTGTGGGTGGCGGGGGGGCAGCAGGGGGAGGAGGGGCGGGTGCGCAAGGAGCAGCAGCAGCAGGAGAAGCGCGTGAGGCGCGAGGCAGAGAGGCAGGAGACGGCCCAACGCAAGGTGTGCTCCCCTGGCTGCTGGGGGCAATGCAGTGACGGGGGGTGGGGGGGAAGAGAGAGGGGGGAGAGGGGGGAAGGGGGGGGGGGAGGGAGAGGGTAAGGGGTGAGGTGGGTAAAGCTCGGAAAATTTGTGTTCCGCGTTCTTTTTTTCCATTGTCATTCATCTTTTGTTGTGTTGCCGCCTCTGACCTGGTGCTGTGCTGTGCTGCTGTCTTGTGCTATGCTTGCTTGCTGCAACAGATGCAGGAGGCAGCACGACGGGCAGAGGAGAGGCGGCGGCGGGAGGAGGAGAGGGAGGAGCGGGAGAGGCACAAGGAGCAAGCGAGGGAGGCGAGGGAGAGGCAGCGCGAGGAGGAGAGGGAGGCACGGGAGCGGGAGAAGGAGCGAGAGAGGATGGTTCGGGAGAAGAAGCGGGAGGAGGAGCGGCAGGCACGGGAGCAGATGAAGGAGAGCATTCAGGTGAGAAGCCTGCCTCTTGTGCGTCCTGCCCGCTCAGCTGAGCGCCACCCTCCGTGCCGCCTCCTCATTGTCTCTGTGTCGCGTCGCCCATCCATTATGTCTTGCAGCTTCCCCCTGTCAGTTGCTGAGGGTGGGGAAGCAGGACGGCATTCACCCCTTTTGCAAGCAGCGAGGGGGAGAAGGAGACAAGTGGCGCAGGCGCTATGCATTCGCCCCTTTTCCACTCTGCCCTCCGCTCCTGTGTGCCTTCCTCCCCACGCACACACCTCCCGCGGTCACCCCGCCCCACCCCCATTCCCCCGGACCCTCTGTCTCTATTATCCCGCCCGCCCGCCCTTCCCAATGCAGGTGGCGAGGCGGCAGTGGCGGAGATGACTTTTGAGTCGACTCAAACGCCCCCTCTCTCCAACCACCCCCCTTCCTTCGGACCCTCTGTCTCTATTATCCCGCCCGCCCTCCCTCCTCGTTGCAGGTGGCAAGGCGGCAGCGGAGGGAGGAGCAGAGGCGGGTGCGGGAGGTGGCGAGGGAGCGAGAGCAGGCGGAGAGGGCCAAGGCGCGGCAGGCCGCAAGGGCTGCCCTGCAGCTGGTGGACGACCGGCAGCTCGAGCTCCAGGAGATGGGTGCTGGCAGGGAGCTGCTCGAGACTGCCGGGGCGGGTGAGTGTGAGTGTGAGTGTGAGGGGGAGAGGGAGAGGGCCAGGGCGCGGCAGGCAGCGACCGCAGCCGTGCAGCTTGTGGACGGCCGGCAGGTCGAGCTGCAGGAGGCTGACAGGGCGGGTGAGTGTGAGGGGGAGAGGGTGGAAGGGGAAGAAGGGAAGGAGGAGGAAAATGGTAAGGGGAAGGTGGCGAGGGAAGGGCGTGGTGCAGTGGAGGGGAACGAGCTCAAGAGTGAGTTGCATATGGCCTTGTCACACCCACCTCTTGCTCTCCGCTCTTACAAGTTACGCTCACGATATTCTTTCCCACACCTCTCATTCCCTCCTACCCCATTGTCTCTCGCCTACAATCCATGTTGTCTCTCTCTCCCTCCGCGTCTGCTCTCACTCATTCTCCGCCACGCCTCACCCTGATCACCTGTCATATCAGCGCTCCCCATCGGTCCCTCCCTGTGCCCCGCAGAGCACCTACCGCCCTTCCCCCCGTCTGCGGTGCGGCGCCACCCAGTGCTGTGCGGCGCACCGTGGTCCTCCAACCCCCAAGCCGTCAGCGACCTTCTCATGGTGCGCCTGCTCTCCCCTCTCCTCTCACTCTGCCTTACTGCCTCACCTGCTCCTCTCCCTCTCCTGCTTTCACTGCGTCACAGCCTCACATGCCAACCCCCCAAACCCCATGCCGTGCAATGCCCACCTCCTCTCACCATCGTGTCCGCCACCCTCTCCCCTTGTTCCTTTCTTCTCTCTTCTCTGATGCAATTCTGCATTGGCGCACACACACTTGACCTCTCTGGCCCCCTCACTCCCTCCACCCCATGCAGGTGTATTCGTTCCTCACCACCTTTGCAGACACCCTCGCCCTCTGGCCCTTCTCCCTGCACCACCTCGCGCACGCCCTCCACCTCCCCGTCAGTGCACACACCCATCCCCCCTTGCCTCTGTTCTGCTCCGCTCTGCACGTCTCTGCAATTGTACACATACGCGTTTTGCAACTCTCACATTCCTGCTTGCACTGTGCAAGCCTGCAAGGCCAGCAAGGTCCGGCATGTTGGCATGTGAATGGACAGCAGTTCTGCATCTCCAATCCAACAGATCGGAGATGCACAAATGCTGTCCATTTGCATGCCATTGCTTGCCCGCTCTGCTCCCATGCTCATGCTCACTCTGTCTCACTCGCTCCCTTGCTGCCTCGCATCCACGAGGCGCTCTTCTTTTCAGCTCCTTCAAATCACATCCCTCACTCCTCTCTGCCATGCTCCACTCATCCTCCTCTCCCCTTCTCTCGTCTCCCCCATCTTTCTCGTCTCCCCCATCTTTCTCGTCTCCCCCATCTTTCTCGTCTCCCCCATCTTTCTCGTCTCCCCCATCTTTCTCGTCTGCCCCACCTTTCTCGTCGTCCCCATGTCCTCATCAGGAGGCGCGCCTACTCACGGAGATCCATCTCTCCCTCATGCGAGTGCTGCTCGTCGACACCGCTCCAGCCATCGCACCACCACAACCATCAGCAGCAGCTGCGGCACCACCAGCACCTCCAGCAGCAACTGTTCACGCACCCCCCACCATGCAACCCCCCATCTGCTGTGCAGCTGCAAGCCACCATACAGCCAGCCCCAGGTCGGCTCACTCTAACCTTAACCCCACTGCTAACCCTAGCGCTGACCACTTGAACGTCCTGCGTAGACCCAACAAACAAACGAGTGGAGCCACAACCACAGATGCAACTGCAATTGGCGACAGGGGAGCAGATGGAGCAGATGGAGCAGATGGAGCAGATGGGGGAGCAGATGGGGGAGCAGATGGGGGAGCAGATGGGGGAGCAGATGGGGGAGCAGATGGGGGAGCAGATGGGGGAGCAGATGGGGGAGCAGATGGGGGAGCAGATGTGGGAGCAGATGGGGGAGCAGATGGGGGAGCAGATGGGGGAGCAGTGCGGACAGCGGGCGTGGCAGCAGCGGTGGCGGAGGCGATGGCAGCAGCAGTGGGCGGGTCGGACACCGCCAGGGCGCTCGTGCTGCACTCCGCTGCTGCTGTCGTGGCTCAGGTGAGGGGGGGCGCCATAGCACCGTAACCATGTAACTGTGTCGCACGTGAGGTGAGCAGCGAGCACAAGGTGGTGCGGTGAGTGGCGGGGGCACAAGGTGGTGCGCTGAGTGGCGGGGGCACAAGGTGGTGCGCTGAGTGGCGGGGGCACAAGGTGGTGCGCTGAGTGGCGGGGGCACAGTGTGCTGCAGTAAGGGACGAGCTGTGTTCACCTCTGCTCTCTCGAGTCAATCTCCTGCTACTCTTCCTCTGAAATCCACATCTTTTTCTTTTTCTTCTATCAGCATCAGCAGTCCCGACTCCTTGCACCCACAAGCTCCTGCCACACCATCCCCTCACTGCCACCCCTCCCAGGCGCGTGAGTGGGGCTTCACGCCAAGCCTGTGGCGCCCCCTCCTGGGTCCTCTCACGTGGCCCGAGGTGCTGCGCCAGTACGCCCTCTCCGCCGCCTGGGGCCCTCCGCGCCCCCCCCCTCCGCGGCGCCGCCACCGCCACTGCAGCCTTCACAGCCGTGGGTCCCGAGGGGCGGCCATGCACGGGCAGGCCTGTGGTGCGGGCGTTGGTGCGGGCGGTGACTGCAGCAATGAGAGTGGTGACGAGGTGAGGGCGGCGGGATGGTGGCATGGTGGCACGGTGGCATGGTGGCATGGTGGCATGGTGGCACGGTGGCATGGTGGCATGGTGGCATGGTGGCACGGTGGCATGGTGGCATGGTGGCATGGTGGCATGGTGGCATGGTGGCATGGTGGCGTGATTGTATGATGGTATGTTGAGCTGAGAAAGGGTGATGATGGCACAGATAGGGAGACATGAAAGCATTGGCATGTGTGAAGGTGTGTGTGTGAGTGAGACTGTGTGGAGTGTGTGCATGAGTGTAATGGTTGCTTTGCGCAATCGCCCTTGCAACCAAGTAAGAGGATAACATGTCCGTTTCGCATTGACCCATGCCCCACCACTCCCTCCCATGCCGTTACAGGCTGCTGACCAAGAAGCGCTCGTTGCCGACCTTGCATCGGGCAAAGCAGCTGACGTGGCGGCACAGCGGGCGTTGGAGGAGCAGCAGGCGTGGCGGGAGGAGCAGCGGCGGCACCTGCATGCGCAGTACCTCGCATACCTCGCTGCTGGCGGTGGCCGCTTCAGTGACGACGACGAGGAAGGGGACGACAGCAAGCAGGGGCGACAGGCAGTGGCAAGGGTAGGGGCAGGGAGAGGAGCAGCGGCAGGGAACGCAGGAGAGGACAGCAAGGGCATTGATGGCGCTGCTGCTATCGACGCGAACCCTCTCCCCCCTGCCACTGCCTCTCCTCCGCCTAAGACCCTGCCAGCCAGCAGCAGCAGCCCCCACGTGTCTGCGGTGCCGCGCATGGTGGCACGGCTGGCGCCCGGCACCGTGAAGTTTGCGGCCTTCCACGTGCTGGCGTACGAGGGGCCAGCCGGGCTGCCCGTCACTCTCTTAGCACAGCGCATCCAGCAGTGCGGGCTGCGGGACCTGTCTGGCAGCCGCACCCCTGAGGCTACCATTACTGGTGCGCTGGCGAGAGACCCGCTGTTCCAGCGCGTGGCCAGCTGCACCTACTGCGTGCGCGGGGCGTACAGGCGGAGCGAGGGGGAGCGAGAGGAGGGGCTGCGGGAGGCTGTTGAGCTTGTGCAACGCGAGGCTGAGGGGAGGCGAGAGGAGGAGGAGGGGGATGAGGGAGAGGAGGAGGGAGACGAGAGAGAGGTGGAGGGAGAGGATGGAGAGGATGGAAAGGAGGTGGGTGGTGAGGGTGAGAAGGAGGTGGAGGGTGAGGAGAAGGAGGTGGAGGGTGAGGAGAAGGAGGTGGAGAGTGAGGGTGTAGGTGAGGAGGAGGGTGGGGGAGGAAGGGAGGCCGCGGAAGAGGGTGGTGGGGCAGAGGAGGGAAGGCAGCAGAGTGGTGGGCAAGGGCGGGGCGAGCGCATGGACGTGGATGGGCCGCGTTGTGAGGGCGGTGGTGCAGGAGGTGGGGGCGGTGCAGGCAGCGAGGGCAGTGAACGCAGAGAGGGTGGTGAATTGACTGGGCGGTGCAGGGCACCCGAGCAGAGCGGGCAGGACAGCACAGAGGAAGGCATGGCTGTGAATGACATGATGGATGCGCGACACGTGCGCGTGACGGGCGAGGGCTTGCAGGGCGAAATGATGGAAGGAGGGGTGGGCACGAGCACGAATTTCAGGGGCGATGAAGCGGTGAGGGCGACGGTGACAGATGCAGAGGATGCAGGCGGCTGTGGTGCTGCAATCGGGCCTGGTCCTGCTGACACCATGGTGCATGGTGAGGCGATGCGAGGCGACGGCAGTGTGGAGGTGGGCGGCGATGTGCGGATGGCGTGGTGTGAGGGAGTGCGGCTGGGGGAGGAGGAGGTGCAGGCGGTGGATGGCATGCAGGCAGGGCGTGGGAGGGGCGAGGGAGGGGAGACGACTGGTGATGAGAAACAGCAGCAGGGCAGGGGGGAGGAGGGTGGTGGTGCTGGTGGCAGCGGTGATGAGAGCGAGTGGGAGTGGGAGTCTGATGAGGAGTGTGATGGAGAGGAGGACGCAGAGGAAGTGGAGGGTGGGGAGGGAGAGGCAGGGCAGAGGAGGGCGTGGGTGGCGGCGCTGGGAGGGGTGGAGTACAGCGAGCTCAGTGTGGAGGAGCGGGTTGACCTGCTCGTTGACCTGGTCAACGCAGTCAACGACTCCTCCACCATCCGCGCTGCCATCGAGGTGCGCTCTCTCTCCTCCTTTCTTCTCACTGCCACCTCCCCGTACTTGGCTGCTGCATGAACCAAGAGCAAGGTGCGCTCCACCCATCGTTTCAATATGTTCCCTGCTAGCCCTCTTCTTGTGTTCCAACCTCTTCTTTCTCCCTCTCGCCTGCCCATCTCTGCTGGGCAGGCGCGGTACGAGGTGCAGTCATCATACCGGCGGCAGCGGTGGGTGGAGGCGTCGCTGCACCGCAGGAAGGGCGCCTGGCGGCCCCCCGCCCTCCACCCCGCCTCCCTGCCCCTGCGCTGCCCTCCCCACGCTGCTGCGAGTCCTTCTGGTGATGCTGCACCTGATGCTGCTGCTACGGCAGCTGGAGGCGATGGTGGTGCTGCTGCAGCAGGAGCGGCCGCCACGTCTTCCCCACCCACTCAAGGCGCAGCACCCGCTGGGAACCAGGCGGTGGGAGCGGTGCTGCAGGCGTCGCTCTCTCAGGCTCCCCTGCTGCTGCCGCCACCCCTGCTGGTCACACAGGGAGTGCCTCCAGAGGCAAGGGGGAGAGATGATGGTGGGGGGAGAGGGGATTTGAGGGAGGAGGGGAAGCCAGTGGAGAGAGAGGAGAAAGAGGAGAGTGGAAGGAGGGTGGAGGAGGGGCAAAGAAAGAGTGAAGGAGACGAAGCAACGGTGGCGAGGAGCAGCGAGGATAAGGGGATAAGGGCTTCTGAGACGCCTCAAAAAGCGGAGGCGATGGGGACAGGAAAGCATGCGGTGAAGCAAGAAGCGAGCGTGGTGGAGGAATGTGAGGGGCGGGTGCATCGGGAAGGGGTAGTGGGAAGGAGGAGGGATGGACGTGGCGAGGCAGAGGGGATGGCGGGGTGCAGCAAGGAGGAGCAGATGGACGAGGAAACCACAGAGGTGAGGAAAAAACAGCGGGAACGAGGGAAGAAGGAGGGGCTACAGGGAAAGCCGAGGAGTGATGTGAAGGGGGAGGGGGAGGAGAAAGAGAGGTCAGAGGCAGGGAGGCAGTTGGCGGAGGAGGGGGTGACTCCAATGTCCTGTGATGCTCCTGCTGTGTCTGTTCCTGCTGCTGCTCATACCATTGCTGCCGCTGCTGCCACTGTCACACCTGTTGCTGTTCGTGGACCGGATGACTCTGCACCTGCTGTTGCAGACGCTGCTGCTTCTGGCTCTCTGGCAAGAGCTGCTTCTGGCTCTCTGGCAAGGGCTGCTTCTGGCTCTCTGGCAAGGGCTGTTTCTGAAGCTCCTCCCCGTGCCACCACAGCTGCTCCTTCCAATACGCCTCTCCCCGCTGCACCTCCTCCCAATGCAAGCACGGCAGCTGTTCCTGCTTCTGCTGCTGCTGCTGCTGCTTCTGCTTCTCCTGCTGCTGCTTCTGCTTCTCCTGCTGCTACTGCTACTTCTGCTTCTGCTACTTCTATTACGGCTGTTCCTGCTGCCGCTTCTCCGGCTGCTCCTGCTACTTCTGCTACTACAACTACTGCTGCCTTTACTGCTATTGCTACTCCTACTGCTAATGCTGTTAGTGCGTCTCCTCCTCCTTCTTCTCCTGCTGCTGCTGCTCCTGCTGCTCTTGCTGCCCCTGCTGCCCCTGCTTCTCCTGCTGCCCCTGCTGCTCCTGCTGCGATTGCTGCTACTGCTTCTCCTGCTGCTAGTGTTGCTACTGTTTCTCCTCCTCCTGCCGCTGCTGATCTTGCTGCTACTGCTGTCCCTGCTGCTGTGACTTCTCCTCCTGCTGCTGCTCCTGCTTCTACTGCTGCTAATGCTTCTCCTGCTGTTACTGTTGCTAATGCTTCTCTTGCTGCTACTGCTGCTCGCGCTGCTACTTCTTCTCCTCCTCCTGCTGATGCTTCTCCTGCAACTAATCCTGCACCTGCTGCTACTGCTGCACCTGCAGCGGCGGCGCCAGGCGGGGTGGAGTTTGCAGAGGCGAGCTACAGCATCCGCCACGTGCCTCTGGGCTGCGACCGCCGCGCCCACTCCTACTGGTGCTTCCACCGCCTCCCCCTCTCCGCCACCGCTGCTGCTGCTGCTGCTGCTGCTGGTGCGCTCCCTGGGCACGAGGTGTGCCGCTGGCGAGGATATGGGGGAAGGAAAGAAGGGGACGATGGAAGGCGGGGAGGAGAAAGTGGTGGTAGTGATGGTAATGGTGGGGGAGGTGGCAGGGGAGGGGAGCAGGCGATGGTGGGGGTGTACGTGCTGTCAACTGACGGGCAGTGGAGCGCCATTCGAGACGCCCAGGTGCGCGCAGAAAAATAGGTTGTATGGAAGGTGCGTGCAAAATGGTTATGTAGCACCTGAGGGGTCAGCCTAGGGTTCTGCACATTTGGAAGGGCTTCATCCTGTTCCTACCCTCCTTGTTCCAACGCCCACCACCATTGAGTGTGACTCCTTTCGTCCCAAGCCCACGCTTCACCGCCTCATCCACTCACTCTTTCCCTCGCCGCTCCCCACATTCACAGTCTAGGCCTTCACCCATGTTTCCCTCCCCTCCTCTTCTCCCCATCTCCCCCCACGTATTCTTGCAGTCACTGGCGCATCTCAAGGCGCTGCTGTACCCGCGCGGTGTGAGGGAATCCGCGCTGCTCTCCAACCTCCGCCACCACCTCTCCTCCCTCACTCCACCGCTCTGCACCACTGCTATACCCGCCACCACCACTGCACTGGCTGCTACCATCACCACACCAGCTGCCACCACCATTGCACCCCCAACAGCCTCTGCTGGTGCCCTTGAGTCGCCTCCTCCACCCCTCATGTCGTCCGTGCCACCAGCCTCACCTCCCATGCCACCCAACGCACCTGCCACTCCACCAGAAGCACTAGCCACCCCCTCCGAAACACCTGCCGTGCCGCCTAAACCACCCGTGGGTGACACAAAGGGGGAGGGTGCCATGATGGCGGCTGCACCAGCAAGCAGGGAAGCAGATGCCACGCAACCTGTGCTCCCCCCTCCCCATGCCCCTGCTGCCGCCACCATCCAACCCGCCCAGGCGAATGAAGGTGGCGCCAGGCTGGCATGCCCACCCATGCACACATGTGAGCCCGTGCACACATGTGAGCCCGTGCACACATGTGAGCCCGTGCACACATGTGAGCCCGTGCACACATGTGAGCCCGTGCACAGCACTGCTCTTGCTCCACCTGCTCACACCCACCACCACCTGAGAGCCACCCCTCCTGCACCACCCCTGCCCTCACCCTCTTGCGCTTTCCTCTCCGAGGAAGCTTCCTGGCTGCTTCGATCCATTGGGGATGCAGAGGCCGGGTTGTGGGGTGGCCGGGGCGGGATTGAGTCGATGGTGTGTGATGGAGAGTGGTGTAGTGCGATGGGGAGGGGAGGGGGTGTAGGAAGAGGCAGGGAACAGGAACAGAGAGGGGTAGGGAAGGAGGGAGAGCAGAGCAGGGAATGTGGCGAGGTGGTGAGAGGCGACAGGCTGGAGGAGGAGGGGGGAGCAGCACTTTGTCGTGATGTAACTGCTGGTGCTGATGTGGCCGCAGCACAGCGCGCTTCCCTGGGTGCTGATGGCAGGGATGCAGCAGTGGCAGTAGCAGCACCAGCGGCAGCGACAGCACCAGCGGCAGCAGCAGGTGCTGCTGTGGGCTGGGCAGGGTCAAATGCGGTGGTGGCATGTGGGGAGTGCAAACGTGTGGCAGAGGAAGGCACAGCAGGTGCAGCGAGTGGAGCAGCAGGAGTAGAGGGGGCAGGCAGGGAGGAGGGCTGTGGGGTGGCCATCCCCCCCCGTGTGCGGCGCCTCCAACACTCCCTGCTGGCTGCCCAGGTGTGCTGTGGAGCATCTGGGGCATGTGGGTTTCTGCATACCCATACCCATGCCCATGCCATGCCCATGCCATGCCCATGCCATGCCCATGCCCATGTTCACGCCCATGCCCACTGCTTATGCCCATGCCCATGCCCATGCCCATGCCCATGCCCATGCCCATGCCCATGCCCATGCTTATGCCATACCCATGCCCATACCCATGCCCATGCCCATGCCCACGCCCACGCCCACGCCCATGGCCTTGGCAGGAGGCATTGGAGGCGGGGGGCAAGCTGGCGGTGGAGTGGACGGGGGAGAGAAGGCGCAGGTGGCGTGCAGCGGTGCACATGGCGTGGCATGCTGCACACCTGCTGCAGGTATGCCTCGTGTGCATGTGACAGGCATGGCAGCAGGCAGATAAGGCTTATGGGGCAACGTATGGCAGCAGGTGTGGGATTCTCTTTTGTTTCTCCTCACTTTCGCGCTCTCACCTCCGCTCCTCCCCATCCCAGCGCCCTTTCTCTACCTACTGGTCCATCTGTCTCTACCTACTGGTCCATCTGTCTCTACCTACTGGTCCATCTGTCTCTACCTACTGGTCCATCTGTCTCTACCTACTGGTCCATCTGTCTCTACCTACTGGTGTCCATCTGTCTCTACCTACTGGTCCATCTGTCTCTACCTACTGGTCCATCTGTCTCTACCTACTGGTCCATCTGTCTCTACCTACTGGTCCATCTGTCTCTACCTACTGGTCCATCTGTCTCTACCTACTGGTCCATCTGTCTCTACCTACTGGTCCATCTGTCTCTACCTACTGGTCCATCTGTCTCTACCTACTGGTCCATCTGTCTCTACCTACTGGTCCATCTGTCTCTACCTACTGGTCCATCTGTCTCTACCTACTGGTCCATCTGTCTCTACCTACTGGTCCATCTGTCTCTACCTACTGGTCCATCTGTCTCTACCTACTGGTCCATCTGTCTCTACCTACTGGTCCATCTGTCTCTACCTACTGGTCCATCTGTCTCTACCTACTGGTCCATCTGTCTCTACCTACTGGTCCAGTCCATCTGTCTCTACCTACTGGTCCATCTGTCTCTACCTACTGGTCCATCTGTCTCTACCTACTGGTCCATCTGTCTCTACCTACTGGTCCATCTGTCTCTACCTACTGGTCCATCTGTCTCTACCTACTGGTCCATCTGTCTCTACCTACTGGTCCATCTGTCTCTACCTACTGGTCCATCTGTCTCTACCTACTGGTCCATCTGTCTCTACCTACTGGTCCATCTGTCTCTACCTACTGGTCCATCTGTCTCTACCTACTGGTCCATCTGTCTCTACCTACTGGTCCATCTGTCTCTACCTACTGGTCCATCTGTCTCTACCTACTGGTCCATCTGTCTCTACCTACTGGTCCATCTGTCTCTACCTACTGGTCCATCTGTCTCTACCTACTGGTCCATCTGTCTCTACCTACTGGTCCATCTGTCTCTACCTACTGGTCCATCTGTCTCTACCTACTGGTCCATCTGTCTCTACCTACTGGTCCATCTGTCTCTACCTACTGGTCCATCTGTCTCTACCTACTGGTCCATCTGTCTCTACCTACTGGTCCATCTGTCTCTACCTACTGGTCCATCTGTCTCTACCTACTGGTCCATCTGTCTCTACCTACTGGTCCATCTGTCTCTACCTACTGGTCCATCTGTCTCTACCTACTGGTCCATCTGTCTCTACCTACTGGTCCATCTGTCTCTACCTACTGGTCCATCTGTCTCTACCTACTGGTCCATCTGTCTCTACCTACTGGTCCATCTGTCTCTACCTACTGGTCCATCTGTCTCTACCTACTGGTCCATCTGTCTCTACCTACTGGTCCATCTGTCTCTACCTACTGGTCCATCCGTCTCTACCTACTGGTCCATCTGTCTCTGCCTACTGGTCCATCTGTCTCTGCCTACTGGTCCATCTGTCTCTGCCTACTGGTCCATCTGTCTCTGCCTACTGGTCCATCTGTCTCTGCCTACTGGTCCATCTGTCTCTACCTACTGGTCCATCTTTCTCTACCTACTGGTCCATCTTTCTCTACCTACTGGTCCATCTGTCTCTCCCTGCGCACGTCATCACGTGCCTCTTGCCCCTGCTCCGTTTCCCCACTTCCCATAGCTCCTCCCAGCCTCGACTGCCCCTGGAACACCCTTGGTTTCAACCACCCTTTCGCCAGGCCTCCCTCACTCACCCCACACCAGTCACCACACACCCCACCCGGAACGAACATCCCACTCTCCAAACATTCCCTTCCCCACCCTCTTGCTGTCCCTTTCCTTCTTCCCCCCCTCTTTCTGCAGCTGCTGTGCCAGCTGGAGGCCGCCATCCCCCCCACCTTCATCCACGGCTCCTTCAGCCCCGCGCCAAATGTCGCCCTACGATTGGCTCTCAGGATGCGAGGGAGTCGAGGTGAGCCCGCAGCTCAAGCTGGAAGGAGCGGAGGGGAGAGGGGTAAAGACGGGGACGAGAGGGGGAGTGGAGGAGAGAGCGGGAGGGAGGAGGGAGAGCGGGGTGAAGGCGGGACGGGGTGTGGTGAGGAGGCCAGGCAGGCGGGTGGTGCTGCTGGCGAGGTGGGGGAGAGGAGGAGCGGACATGAGGGAAGGTGCTCGGCAGAGGAGGCAGTTGCTGTTGCTGTTCCAGACAGGGGGCAGAGCATTGCTGGTGCAGGCGGTGGGATGGAGGAGGGCAAATCCACAAGAGAGGGTCAGACGGACGTGGGTGAGGAGGGGAGGCAAGGGGGGAACGGCAGAGAAAGAGGTGGGAGGGATGGCGAGCAGGCTGTAGCAGGGGGGTGGACACGGGCCCTTCCTTCCCTTGTTGCCATGCCGCTGCCCACTGTGCCCCTCACGTGCGCTGCTGTCGCTCTGCGATTGGCCGCCCTGGAGGCAGCTGTCCTGGGGGATAGGCGAGGAGCTGGGGGGAGTGCGGGGACTTGGAAAGGGAATGGTAGAGGGGTTGACGCAGGGCGTGGCGGGGAGTTGGGATGGTGGGTGCCTGATGAAGCAAGGCGACTGGAGGGGGTGTGGTGGGAGCAGGTGGAGGGGGCGAGGAGAGAGGAGGCAGTTGAAGGGATGGTGGACTGGGCGGAGTGGGAGGCGAGGGAGGTGGTGCGGCGCACGCAGGACAGGGAGCGGGCGAAAGGGAAGGAGGAGAGGGAGAAGAGGGAGGGGAAGGTGAAGGAGAAAGGGAGAGGGAGAATGCGAGAGGAAGGAAGAGTGAAGGGCGGGAGGGGTAAGAAGGGGGGATGGGGTAGAGGGGTCGGTGAAGGGGGGGCGGGCAGAGGATTGTGTAGGACGGGGCGGAATGAGAATGAGCGCTTGCAAAGACTGAAGAAGAAAGGTGGGGTGAAGGTGCGTGCAGGGAAGAGAAAATGGAAGGAGGTGGTTGAGGAAGCAGAGGAGGAGGAGGAAGACGAGGAAGAGGAGGATTTGCAGGTGAAGCTTCGAGTGCGAACGAAGGGGCTGCGACGACACGTGAAGAAGAGACGAATGGGTGCTGACGAAGGGGGTGTGAAGGACGAGACTGGCACACAAGGCACAGAGGAGGGGCAGGAGGTGAAGCAGGGGAAGGTGAAGAAGAGGGATGTGAAGAGAGAAAGCAGAGATGCGGGAGTGAGGCACGGAGTGAAGACAGAGGAGGGAGAGGAGGGGGTGAAGCCGCAGATGGTATCAACGGGAGCGAGGGCGGCCCGCATGAGTGGCAGGGCAAGCAGGCGCGTGCAGCGGCCGCTGTCGGCCCGTGGCAGAGGTGCCGTGCGGCGTGTGGGACGGGAGCAGGAGGCGGAGGTGGAGGAGGGGGAGGGGGTGAAGGAGGAGGAGGACGGGGAGGAGGATGAGGGGGAGGGGATGAGGGAGGAGGGGCAGCAGCAGCGGGGGCAGCAGAAGGGCAGAGCGTCAATGTCTCGACAGAAGCAGGTGAGGGGGGCAGATGGGTCGATGGTGTAAGGTTGGCCTATGGCGGGCGAGGAAGTTTGCATGCGCCTGCTTGAGCGTCTTCTCATACACCCACGCATCTGCTTGAGCGTCTTCTCATACACCCACGCATCTGCTTGAGCGTCTTCTCATACACCCACGCATCTGCTTCCCTGGCTTGAGTGCCACTGCCTCTTGTGTTTTCTTTTGATTGCTCACATTCTAACTCGTGTTTCAAGTAGTAAGGGCACAACCTCATTGCACTGCGCTGTACTGAACTGCATTGCACCGCATCCCACTGCATGGCACTTGGTTGTGCAGGCGAGCAAGGAGGAAGGCAGCGCAGCAGCAGCCACTTTGCGACTGCGGGCGTCCATCAACCCACCCGCACCTGCACTTTGCTTCACACGTGCCAAGCCCCCTTGGTTCATGAGGGCAGCCGGTGCCGCTGGTGGCGGCAGTGGGAGGCGCAGCGCTGCAGCGGTGGTTCAGTCTGGTGTTGAGTCGCACTCGCGCTCTCAACTTAGTGACCATGCTGACCTCGGTGGTGGTGCTGCTGCTCCTGCTGCCAATGGCACAGGCTCGGCTCACAGCCACGAGGACAGTGAGGAGAGCCGTGGCAGCGACGACAGGGACAAGGGCAGTCAGAGCAGCAGCAGTGAGGAAGGCGGTGGTGAGGGGCATCACAGTCCTGCACGCCCGCCGTCGCCAGCAGCAGTGAGTGCTCCCTCTCCTTCCCGCCCGCCACCGCGCAAGCGACCGCGCTCCCACCTCCCTGCACATGCACATGCCCTGTCTGCCCGAGGCTCTGCCGCTGCCGCTGCTACTGTGGTGAAGATGGAGGCTCGGGCAGGGTTGCCGACAGGCTTGGAGGCAGGCTCGGGTGGAAGGGGTGGAGGTTCAGGAGGGAGGCAACGCGTGGTTGGAAGCAGGTGGAGATGGGAAGAGGGTGGGTGGTGGTCGGAGCAGGAGGCAGGTGAAGCAGGGGAAGCAGGAGAAGGAAGAGAAGGAAGAGGAGGAGGAGGGGGAGATGGAAGGGCGAGGTGGGGAGGAAGGGTTGGCAGGGAGAAGGACAACACGCAGGCAGGAGAGTTGGGGCAATGGAACAGTGGAAGCTGAGCTACCGCAGAGAGGGAAGAAGGGGAGAGAGGGAGGGGCTAAGGCAGGTGGGGAGAAACGGAGAGGGGGAGGTGGAGGGGCGGGCACTGGTGGGGCGGGAGGAGAGGATGAGAAGCAGGAGGAGCGGAGAGTTGAGACGGGAAGGCCGCGGAGAGAAGCGAGTTTGCGAGCCAGGAAGGCACAGGAAGAGATGCTGCTGCGGGAGAGGGGCGGAGGGATGGAGGGCGTGGAGGAGGAGAGGACAGGGAGAGGCGCAGTGAGAGGAGCGCGACGGAATGCCACTATTACTGGAGTGGAGAGGAAGGGGAAGGACAAGGGTGAGAGGAGCGTGGGGGGACGGGGCGGTGGGAGAGGCAGAGGCGAGGCAAGCGCAGCAGCAACGGCGGCAGGCGGCGAGGAGGGCAGCAAGCAAGCATTCAACACGAGAGCGGCACGAGCAGCAGCGGGTGGCAGCGGTGGTGGCGGTGGGAGTGGAGAGCGCAGCAGGCGGGGTGTGAGGGGTGTGAGGCATGGCATGGGTGGTGGAGAGGCAGGGGACGCACACCCTCTTGCCTCGCCTCAAGCACCCGCTTCTCCACCACCAACACACTCCCCTCAACCTTCCCACTCCCCTCGACCCGACTCCCCGCCAGCGATTCTTTCAGGCTCGAGCAGTGATGGCACGGGACAGGGTTGGGAGGACGAGAGGGGGGATGGGGAGGAGACGGCAGGGCGGCAGCATGAGGAACAGCAGGAGAGGACGGTGAAGCCAGTGCAGTCAGGCAGTGAGGACTCGTCATACTACCTGGGGTCGCCGCTGCGCCTGGACGCCCCTCAGTGGCCGGCCTACCTTGACCCTTCCTCTGCTGACTCTGCTCCTCGCTTTCCCCCCTCTCACTGACTCACTCACTCACTGACTGGGTTGTGTGTTGCGGCGATGATGCCGCTGGTTCCAGGGAAGGTTTACCACAGTTGAAGTTGACAGCACTCACAAGCAGAGCAGCAATGGTGCCATGAAGGGATGTGGCGGGCAGGGAAAGGTGCTTGAGTGCGCTGCAGGGCCGTGCCACTGGGCCATGTGCCACAAGCAGTAGCTGTGGTAGGCAGGTGGTGGTCGGTGGTAGGTTAGAGGCTCCCCGTGGTAGGTCCCCAGGTATGTGTTGGAGATAGCTACAGTAGGAGCGGGCAGGCTGTGTGGAATCTGCAAGTAGAGCTTGCTCTTTCTGATTTGCTTGAATCAAGCCAGCGCCCTTGCACAATGCAATACAATGCAGGAGTTAGCCGTACAGCACAGCAAGCAAACCTCCTTGTACACACCGTACATGTATGCGAGAGGATAACAATTGTGATGATACGTTTTTCCACGTCAAAGGCAGAAACCCCTGTGCATAACATGTGCAGCACTGAGCTTTCAAGCGTCACATTTGATTTGACTCATGTGGGACGAAGCTTGAGACTACGGTACAGTGAACTGCGTAATCATTCTATTATCAAGCGGGCGCTGGCTCGGATCACATCAGAACACCTTCTCCACCACCTTGCCCAACCGTCTCTGCGTGACTCTCAGCCAATCAGACGCATCCTCTGCTCGCACGATGGTCCAATCACAAAGCTCCTCCCACCGCGCCACGGCCCACCGCTCTGCCTTGGACTGCACGTCCTCTGCCATCCGCCCACTGTTCACGTACACCACCAGTGCCGCCCGCCTCTCCTGCACTACAGACAACGCACTACGCCTCTTCTCCTCCACCTCCTCCTGCACCTTCCCGAGAAGCTTCCTCACATCTTCTGGGACGTTTCCGGAGCGAAGGTACCCTACCAGGTCGGTGGCATGAGTGAGAAGGAGCTGGCGCTGCGGTGCAGTGCGGTTGAGAAGGGTGAGGGAGAGTTGGAGGAGGGAGTGGGAGAGGCGGAGCGAGGCGGAGAGGAGGAGCGGGCCGAGCAGCCAGAGGGGTGCGAGGTCGGCTGCTGTTGCTGCCCCGAACAGTATGTTGACCACCGCGAACAGTGGTAGGCTGCATTGGGGGGATAGGCGGGAGGGAGTGCAAGGGGGGAGAGTGATCAGGGAAGGGAATCGGAAAGAAAATCGGCAAGGGAGAAAGGAGGGGAGGACAGTAGGGGAGAGGAGCTGGAGGGACTAGGCGACGGACAGGAGAAGTGGGGTGCTGCAGCTGCTGGCATGACAGGGAGAGTGACGGGAGGCAGGGTGCTGGGAGGGGATGGGAGGGGAGGGGAGGGGAGGGGAGGGGAGGGGAGGGGAGGGGAGGGGAGGGGAGGGGAGGGGAGGCATGTGAAGTGGGCAGGGGGGTAAACGTGGTGGGACGGGGTGTGGAGCACGTGCACGCCGCCTCACCAGACCACCTCCCTTTGCACTGCACCCACGCCGCTGCTTCACTCACACCACCGCCATGCACCATATCCTCAAATCCGCCCTAGTTCCCCTATCCCCTCTATTCCCCCCTGTCCCCCAAATTCCCCTTTCCCACTACACCCATATCACCCCTCCATACTATGACCACGGCCAGATTCACCCGAGCCGCTGTGATAATCACAGAACCGCCATGCAATGTATTCACCCCCTCCCACGCCATCCGCTCTTCCTCCCCCCCTCATCCTCCCCATCCCCCCCCCCCCCCCCCCCCCCCCCCCCCCCCCCCCCCCCCCCCCCCCACGCACAAGATCGCAACGGGCCATTTCACCCACGTCGCCGCTGTCACCCACCACGCTAGAACCGCCGCCTCCGCCGCCCGCACCACGTCAGCTGCCACGTGGCCGGCGTCCATTGGCCGAAGAGCGCTAGAGGTCGGTACATCGCGCGACGGCTCGGAATCCCCCGGAAAACTGTTCGCAGATGCTGCGGTAACCACCAGCGGGCGACAACCTCGTCGCTTATTCGCAGCGGTAGCGCGCGGGACTAGAAACGGAAAGAACGGTTTCTCCCCGTGGCTACTGCATAAAGCACTCAGGCATGCATTCCCGACTGCGGGCGAGGTCAGTCTAGGGTTTCCGTGAAAGGCCTGACTCGCGGGTTGCGCGGACATGGAACAGGTGCGGCCTCGCAGGGAACGCAATCCTGATGGCGGGCTGCCCGATTGGCGGAGTGCGCTAAACCCTGCGGGAGCGGAATCTGAAAATGTTGCGGCGGTTTGGCGCGCTATTAGAGGGGAGAAGGCGTACTGGGAGAGAGCCATGGCGCGTGGCACTCGCTTCGCACTCCGAGAGTCGTGCGCACGAATGAAAGGTTAGGGAGTGGTGGGTTATGGAGGGGGTGGTTTGAAACAAAACTGCTGGGCACACAGTACTCAGGGCGTGTACGAATGCACAGAGTCAAGGAGTAGGGAGATTGGTCGACCAACAGCAAGCCAAACTACTCGAACATGTTTGAGTTCGAGTGGGTTTTGGGAAGTAGACCTGGATCAGTCGAACATTCTGGAGTCAAACCTTCGCGTGTTCAACCTCAACATGTTTTGCAAAAAAGAAAACCTTGTTCCGTTCGACTCGAAACTGGGCATGGTGGGGTTCGGGAAATTGGTTGGCCAATTGTGTTGCTCGCTCCAACCAAGATTCCTAAGGTTGAAGTTCTTGGCCCGCGGGTTTTAAATCAACCAGAACAGCCGAAAGCCACACACATTTTTGCGATGCTGGTGCCTCCGCATTCTCCGGCGGTCCTGCGAACCGCATCGCAGGTACCGTCGTGCGTCCTCCGCGACGACGGTAACCATGGCATTAGTATCGTTCGCCGTCGCACTGCCTACATTCCCTGCCCCGACAGCTCTCCTCATGCCACCCGTGGCCTCCACACGTGCAGGCCGCCACCCCCCGTGCCGCTTGTTTCCGACTCGTCTCCGTGCCCGCTCGTAGGCCTTCCCTCGACTCGGTACCGGCGCTTAGCTAAACGCGCAGTTAAAACGCGAGGGACGAGCTATGCACACGATGAGATAGGGACGAGCAGGTTAAGGGAAGAGAGGGATAACGGTGAGGGGAATGACGCGGTGAGAGAGAGCAAGCCGATGGAGGAGGAAGGGAGAGAGCCGTGGCAGGAAAGTAGAGCGGAAGGGAGGAGGGAGAAGGGAGAGGGGGAGGGGGTCGCAGGGAAGGAGCAACAAGAGGGCGGGGAAAGGGCGAAGGCAGGGCGGCAGTACCATCTGCTGTGTGTGAGCAACGGGCATGGCGAGGACACGATCGCAGTCAGCATTCTGAGCGAGATGCAGGTGCGGGGGAGATGCAGGTGCGGGGGAGATGCAGGTGCGGGGGAGATGCAGGTGCGGGGGAGATGCAGGTGCGGGGGAGATGCAGGTGCGGGGGAGATGCAGGTGCGGGGGAGATGCAGGTGCGGGGGAGATGCAGGTGCGGGGGAGATGCAGGTGCAGGGGAGATGCAGGTGCGGGGGAGATGCAGGTGCAGGGGAGATGCAGGTAAGGGGGAGATGCAGGTAAGGGGGGCTGACAAGGCAGAGTGCCTAGGAACAAGAAGCGGGGAGGAACGCACATCATGGGCTTTGGACGCATCGTATAGAGTGCGCTGTCCCGTTGCCATGGCTTCACCATCCTCTCCCCTGTACCGCCATTCAACCTCTTTCCATCCATGCGCGCATCCTTGCAGGCAGTGGCAGCACATCGGGGCATGACGGTGCGCGTGTCAGCGCTGCCGCTGGTGGGCATGGGGGCGCCATACCACCGCCACGGCATCCCCACCATCGGCCCCGCCAAGACCATGCCCAGTGGCGGGTGAGCCGCTGCTGCCGCCGCCGCCACCGCCTCCGCTGCTGCTGCTGCTACCTTTTCACCCATGCTGCGGCGTGCCTCGTGCCTCGTTATGCACACCTTCATCCTCGTACACACATGCCATCATGCAAGGTTCTCACACACCATGATCCACAATGCCATCCGCATGCCATGCCACGACCAAGCCCCGCACAAGCAATGCTGCCACAGTTGAAGAGCAGTACAGTGGAAGAGAAACGAGGGGGGTACGTGGGAAGTAGGAACAAGAGAATGCTGCGCCTTGCCTTGCCTTGTTGGATCGCGTTCTCTCTCTAATGCATGGACTCAACCACATACTTGACGCCATGGCGTGTGTGCGCCGTGCCATGCAGGTTCATCTACATGGACGGCAAGCAGCTCGCAAATGACGTGGCAGCGGGTCTGCTGGACCTCACGCTGCAGCAGGTATGTACGTGCGTGCGTGCAACCGGTGCCATAGCGGGCTCTGTTCCACCATGTGCGCTCTCTCCCACGTGATTCTTACTTGTGCCTCTCCCCACACCTTCCCGTTCTCGTTCCCCACCTCCCTTCACTCACAGCGTCCTACCACTTGTCACCACTCCTCACTGCTTCCCACCGCACCGCATCCAACCCTTGCAGTGGCAGGCAATGAAGCGGTGGGTGGAGGCGCAGAGCAGCACGACAGGCGCCATCGTGGCCGTGGGTGACGTCTTCCCCCTCGCCCTCGCCTGCCTCGCCTCCCACCACGCCACCACGCTCCCTGCCACTGCTGCGCCCAGCACTGCCCCAGCAGCATCACGGCCAGCGGCACTGCCCTTTGCCTTCATGGGCACGGCCAAGAGCGAGTTCTACATCCGCGCGGACCACGCCCGCCTGCTGCCCTCGCAGGCCACAACATTCGGTGAGCATGGCAGTAGGCACTACTCATGCTGATTGGCTTGCCAGGGACGGCCTAGAGGCGGGTTCATGTGTGAGGGGGCGCTAGGCGAGTGGGAAGGCGGAGTGGCAGTGGGGCAAGTGTTTGGGTGAGTAGAAGGGTAGGCATCCCTCCATGCGCTGGCTGGTACATATGGCATATGAGGAGGACTGCGGTTGGTCTGGTGACAAGACATGCTCTGCCATGGCACTGTGGTGATGTGACGCAAGCAGCCCCGATTCACCACTCGAATGTGACTTTCTAGTATGGCAAGGTACAGTGAGAGTGCAGAGAGGGCAGCAGGGCAATGTGGCATGTTGGGGACCTGGCGAGGATCTGAACTGGACATTGACGTTCCACCCTCCCTTCCACTCTCCCCTCCCTCGTCCCCTCCCTCGTCCCTCACCCCACCGCCTTCCCTCACACCGCTGTCCCTGTGCATTCTCACACCGCTGTCCCTGTGCATTCTCACACCGCTGTCCCTGTGCATTCTCACACCGCTGTCCCTGTGCATTCTCACACCGCTGTCCCTGTGCATTCTCACACCGCTGTCCCTGTGCATTCTCACACCGCTGTCCCTGTGCATTCTCACACCGCTGTCCCTGTGCATTCTCCTGCTGCTCCTGCTGCCATGCCATGCCATGCCATGCCATGCTCCTTGCAGTGGAGAGGTGGTGGCAGAGGGGGAGTGTACCACCCGTGGGAGCGATGGCTCATGGCGCATGCATGCTGCAGGTGAGACTTCATCTCCTCATCCTCACCCCTCCATCCACCCCTCTCCCTCTCCGCCTCTCCCATCCAGCCCGCCTTACTGTTCAAGTGGGAAACCAGGATGCATCCTACGGCCGTCCATCCGTGTTCCTTCACCACCCTCCCACCCCATCCCCCACCGTGCGCCTCTCCCCTGCCAGGCTGGCGGCAGTGAGGGACCGCCTCACTGCTCAGGTGCTCGCCCAGAACATGCTCTTGGAGGAAGCTTCCCCCTCTGCTTCCTCCTCGTCCTCCCCTGGCACGGTGCAGGATGGCAGCGAGGCAGGGCTGTTCAGACGGGGCAAGGTGAGTCCAGAGGACGCCAGAATTGTCCAACAGAATCCAAGGCAACTCCAGATGAGTCAAGGCAAGTCAAGGCGAGTCAGTAAGTGCCCTTCCAGGTCAAGGTGAATGAAGAAGAATGGTCAACTAGAGTCAAACGAGCCACACCGAGTTACTCAGCTGCCCAGAGCTAAATGGAAACCAGAGCCAGAGGGGGGCGACTCAACACGGGTCATCTCATCATGCGTCAGGCAGGGTCTCCATACCACGTGCACCCCATGGCACGCATCCATGGCATGGTGGCCAGCAACCTGAGTACCCCCATGAAGAACTAATGTTCCATGCCTTTCATTGCATTGCACACTCCATGTGTACTCACCATGCGCACCCACCACCCACCATGCGCACTCGCCATGCGTACCCGCTATGCACACCCACCATGTGTACGGCCCATGGCATATGGATATATGCACGTCATGCATATTATGATAAATGACATTTCTGAGTAACCCTGTGATTGCTCATGTATGCTATTCCGCACACCACACCATGTGTACCCCATGGCATGTGCATGCATGTGCATGCATGGCATGGCAGGTGGCGTACCTGGGCAACCCCATGATGGACCACATGGCGCCATCGCCCCACCTGCACACCTTCATCCGCACCCACCTCCGCGCGTGGCTGCACCACCGCACCACCCGTGATGCGCACAGCGAGGGGGGCGCTCATACCACGGCACCAAACGGGGCGCCTCCGGGCGATGCAGCGTGCCAGAGCAGCAGCAGCAGCAGCAGCCCGTTCCGCCACGTCTTTGCCATCCTGCCCGGATCCAGACCGCCTGAAGTGAGCCTCACTCCCCCTGCCCCGCCCCCTCCCCCAAGTCACCTGCCCCTCCTACTGCCCCCACCACGCCTGCCCATCCTGCTTCTCTCTCCTCGCCTGCACCGCTAAGCACCGTCCATCTGGCCAGGTGGCGGGGAAGCTGTGTGTCGATGCCATTTTCTGTCAACCATGGACGCTCTTCTACCTTCATGAATGTCCCTCTGCCACGTCTTCCATGAGCATATGTGTGCCTTGTCACATATCCTTTCCGTATGCTTCTCAAATCTTTCGTTGTTCGTTGGGTACTGGTTGACAGCAGCCGCACCCCTCCTCCCATGCGTGCAGGTGTATTCCAACTGGGAGCTTCTCACCTCCTCCATCCCCCACCTCATCTCCTCCCTGTTTTCCTGCTCCGGGACCACCAGCACTGGCACCAGCACTGGCACTAGCACTGGCACCGTTAACAGCAGCAACAGCACTAATGACTACAACCATGCCACCACTAGCACTACCAGCACTGGCATTGGCAGCAACAGCAAAAGCAGCAGCAGCAGCAACGCCAGCAGCAGCAGTCCCCTGCCAGTCCTATTCGTCTGCCCTATCGTGCCCTCCCTCCAACCCTCCCCCTTCGCCTCCACCCTGCTTGCTCAAGGCTGGCTGCCGCTCAGCCCGTCCCGACCCACGTCAGAAGGGGCGGGAGGAGGGGCAGAGGCGGGGTGGGTAGAGCTGGACGGGGAGGGGTTGCTGCAGGGGCTTGTGCTAATCCTACCTGAGCGAGAGGAAGAGGAGGAGGCACATGGTAATAGCAGAGCGTGGCGAGGAGAGAATCGGGCTGTTGTTGCTCTTGGAGGGGCACAAGAGGAGGGGAAGGGAGGGGGCAGTATTGCTGCAGGGGGGAGCAGCGGTGGGGCAGCGAGCAGTGGTGTGGGGAGCACGGGGGGGGTGCGGGCGGTGGTGGTGGTGGTGAGGGGGGGATTCGCAGAGTGCGCTCATGAGGCCCATGGCGCCCTGGCCATGGCTGGCACGGCCACCGAGCAGATGGTGAGATTGGGAAGATAACGATATGGTAGTGTGCAATGGAGAGTGGTGGAGAGTGGTGGAGGGAGGTGGAGAGAGATGTGGAGCATGCTGATTTCCAGAATGCGTGGTTGCCCTGGCCATGGCAGGCACAGGCGCAGCAGGTAGTGAGATTGGGGAAGACGATGGTTGGGTAGATTGTGGTGGTGAACCAGGATGATTTGCAGGGTCGCGCTCAGAGAGACATGGAGTTATGGCACTGGCAGGCATGGCTATAGCAGCAGATGGTGAGTGCGAAGTGGTGGAGGGTGGTGGATTTGGCAGGTGCATGGCAATGGGCAGGCATGGCCACAGGGGCCAATGATTAGTCTGTTGGGGAGTGTGTACGCAACCAGCAACCCACTTGGATTGTTGTGAGGTGAGTGCTGCCGTGATTTTTAGGTGGGCAGATAGGTGGGTGGCAGGTGGGTGGCAAGTTTGTCCAGGAGGGTTTTAGACTGTGGGTGCAGTGCAGCAACCTCCATCAAACGTGCATTCCTGCCTGCCTGCTGGCCTCCCCCACGCCACCCTTCTCCCCCCGGGCCCAGGTGGGGCTGGGCAAGCCGGTGTTCATCATACCGGGCAAGGGCCCTCAGTTCACGGCAGTCTTTGCCGAGGCACAGACCCGCCTGCTGGGGAAATCTGTGAGCACTCTGAATGCTTTTGCACTCTGCGGGCCTTCATTCTCGTGTATCCGTCGTCCCATGCACTCACCTGTCCTCATGATTGACCATTGCTCTGGATTGACCTACCTTTTTCTCCTTCAGCGCCTCTCGTCATCGTTCGTTTCCATTCGTAACAGTACACCTCACATGCATGCTAGTGCCAGTCAACCCATTATTGTTGTGCTGTCGGCCAATGTCCCTCCAACACAGGTTATTCTGTCAAGTTCTCCTGAAGAACTGGGGGCAGCCGCTGCAGCGACAATGGCAGATGCAGCGCTTCTCCAGGAGATTGCAGCTAATGGCAGGATACGAATGGGTGGGCCGGGTGGAGCTAGACGGATTGCAACTGCTGTATTGGATGCTTTACTTTGGTGACCAACTGTAGGTTACTTGTTGCAGCAGCAAACACTAGTATAGCAGTCAGTCGTACATCCAGCCCTCAGATTCGTTTTGGGGCCAGCTGCTTTGTCAGCCTTGGTACACGAATGTAGGCTGGAAAAACTGTGCTCTTTCCCCCCACAAAAAATAGGGATAGTACATACCGTATATGTCTTATACACTAGAAAAAATGTTAGGGTTGTCTTGTATAAGGGGATGTTTTGGGTGCCTTATAGGTCTTTATAAACAGGAACGCTTTACAATGCTTCGAATCATTCTCACATATCTTGAAATGAGGCTTATAATGAGCTTGGATGTTGTAATGGTTCCTACCGTAATACCCCGGATATAGGCGCACCTGCGCTTATAATAAAACAGTGTTTTTTGGGGGGGGGTGCGCTTATAATTGAGTCAGATTTATAAGCGTATGCGCTTATATAAATAACAAATGCAAATTTATAATTCATTGGCACCAAACTGTACATCTCCTTCTTGTGATTTCAATCGAATCGAAGTGGTAGCGAGTCGCAATTCAGATTCGCGCGTGAGCGATTTTCTGCCGGCGCACAGGGGAAAATTTACACGTCACTATCAGAAATGCCAGCTCATACTGACTGGACGCGCAGTAATGTGAGGTCCTCGAAAGTCAATCGAAGCGAAAATAGTTGTATCCTAACTGCAAAGTTTGAAATCGCTACCGTCTTGATCTGGTTTAAATTTTAGAATTATACGTGCGCTTATAATAAATCAAGGTTTTACAGGGGGTGCGCTTAATAAATGAGGATCGGCCATAAGCACATTGCTCCAGATACAAGCTCATGCGCTTATAATAGGCCTGCGCTTAAATCCGGGGCCAAACGGTGGCCAATCATTGTTAGTGACGCCACATCATGAAGAATGCATGTTGAGGAAGAATTTGTAATACATGAGTCAGCAAGTGGTTGAATTCGTGTTTTACAAGTGCAAAAATGTCAAGAACATAAGAATGTGTTGACTAAGGTTGGTTGGGGTATAGGAACCTAACCCTAACTATTGTATCCCATATGACACACATCACTAAGACTATAATGTCTGACGTCCACGAAACAGCTCCAGAGTCCAGGCTGAAGCAGTTGCCCTAAGTAGACCTGTGAGTCTCGGCGTCGTCAGCGTAAGAAGAGTCACAGTGTCCAGTAAGTACAAAAGACTTCTGCCCTCCATGAACCAGCCCCACGCATGATGTCATCGCTAGGTACTTCGCCACCCTCACAGCAACTGTCCACTGAACTAGACGGTGTCTCCCTGGCGCAACTAAGCGAGCAAGGATGCTGAGAGGGAAGGCGAGGTTTGGGCGAGTGCAAGTCATCAGGTACATGAGGCAGCCCACAAGCTCCGCGTAAGGACCACTAGGCTCAAATGGCTCGTCTGGGAAGGGTCCAGTGAGTTTGTGGTCAACAGCAAGAGGTGTGCGCTGTACTGTAGAGTGCTGAAGCTCGAACCGCTGAAGGACCTGCTGCACCATGTGTGAGTGTGAGAGTGTAATGGTGCGAGCGGCTCTGTCCTTGGTAGTCTGCAGGCCAAGGTACCGGTAGTGGCACAGCTCACCAAGGTCAGTGCACGTGTGTCTCTTCTGCAGCTCGCGCTTCACGTCAGCCAAAGCAACCCTGTCACCAGTGGCGAAAACCAGGTCGTCGACGTAGACCAGTACAAAGAACGGTGTGGAGCCACGCCGAAAAAACAGCGACGGGTCGGCAGAAGACGGCTAGAAACCGAGGTCAGACTGGGTAGAACGAAGGGTGTCGTGCCACTCACGAGGAGCCGGACGGAGACCGTAGACCGGTCGCCTCAGCCTCTACTGGGTCCCAGGAGGGAAACTGTTAGTGAAGGCAGAGGGTTGACGTAGCCAGACCTCCTCGTGTAGGCTACCCTAAAGGAAAGCAGTAGAGAAGTTTAGAGAGTGTCACTTGTAGTCTCTCTGTCTACGGGCTGTAACATCCGAAGAGTGGTCATCTTCAGGGTAGGCGTGAAGGTCTAAAAGAAGTCAACTCCCTCGCGCTGACTGAATCCTCTAGCCACATAGCACGCCTTGAAGACCGGAGGAGATCCCGGTGGCCGCTTCACCCTTAAGATCCACATGCCATCGACTACGTTCGCCCCAAGGGGGGGAACCTTGTTGACGTAAGTGCCTGTGGATTTGTTGGAGGCCATCTCTGAGTCCATGGCAGCTCTCCACTAAGAGGCCCAAGGCCCTGACACCGCCTTAGCGTAAGTGCGAGGAGCCGGTATGTCAAGGGCGTCGGGGTCTCTCTCAGGGGCGAGCAGCATGGCACAGAGATGAGGGGAAGCGACTGCCAGGAACTCTAGCTCAAACTGCATGTCCTCTAGGGCGTCATAGCTAGGGGCAGACTCACCCCCGATAGCCAGAGGACTGGTAGGAGTGTTAGAATCACTAGCTAGGTCAGGAGAGGAACGAGAATGATCAGATAGGGTGAAGATTGGGGTACAAGACTAGAGTGTCGAGACTATTTCTGTACCCCCTAAGGATAGCCCCAATATAGCCTAGATACAATTATGCATATGTTTTGACACACCCCCATAGGCGAAATGGGGGATAGCCAGAGCAAGTAGTGGCCACAAGACCAGTCAGGAAGGGCAAAGCAAGCTCAGGGTGGATCTCGAGGAAACCACACAAATTCCAAGCACAAGCAAGTGGTCACAAGACCAGTTCACATGCAGTTTAATAAAATAGCAAGGGGTACAGTGATCACAACCTAGCAAGTATAAGCATGCAGGTATATATATAGAGATCACACTACAAACAGATTCAAGAAGTAAGCAAGTGAGGCACAGTAGGCACAAGGCCTAGAGCAGTACAGAAGCGCTGATAATCACAAGGCTGAAGAGCCTTGGTGAACACATCAGCAGTGTTGGCCCTAGTGCCCACGTAAGCAAGACGAAGCAGACCTCGCTGCTGCAGCTCTCGAGCAAAGAAGTAGCGCAGAGCGATGTGCTTCGTCCTGTGCTCCAGTCTGTGCTCCTGACACAAGGCAATGGTAGCCTTGTTATCTACGTACAGCACTGGAGGAGAACGAGGCCGCTCTCCGAGGTCAGTCAGCAAGTAGGTGAGCCAGCGTAACTCCTATGCAGCCATGGCTGTGGCATAGATCTCAGCCTCACAACTGGAGCTGAGAACTGAAGACGAGCGAGTAGAACGCCAAGAAACTGAACCAGAGCCAAGGCTGAAGGTGTAACACTGAGACGACCGCTGAGTAGCCTGGTCGTCAGCCCAAGAAGCGTCTGAGTGCCTAGTGAGGACAACTCGAGCCCGTCCTCCAAGCACTAGCCCCATGCCCGACGTACTGCACAAGTAGCGCAACACCCTCTTAGCTGCATCCATGTGCTCCTTCCGGTGACGGCCGGGAGCGACATAGCGTGCGAGGATGCTAAGAGGGTATGCAAGGTCAGGTCGAGCGGCAAAGCACTCAAACTCCTCCTGCCTGTCCTCAAGGACGTCCGTGCCAAGAGCACACTCACCCTCGACGGACGGAGGACAGACAGACTCAGACTCAGCGACAAGACTAGCCGCTTAGTCTAGACGACAAGCAGTAGCAAAGTCAACTAACTCAGCGACTAGAGCAGATGAAGCAGAGGACTCAAAGGAAGGGTCAGAGATAGCAGTGGCGAGGAGACGCGTGACAGTAGGACTGGCAGCACGAAGGGAGTCAGACTCCGGGTCAGCAAGAGCAGGAAGAGAGGACTCAGGAGGAGACGGCAGGGGGACGCGCTAAGGAGCAGAGGAAGGACGAAGCGCCATCCGGTGAGTGCCTGGGACAGCAGGAGGGCGCTGACGAGGGACACGATGACCAGTGTGAGCTGCACGAACAGGCGACGCACGACGAGACTCGGGCGACGCAGGACGAGACTTAGGCTCACGACGCTCTGTAAGACCTCCAATCGGACCAGTGTAAGGAGAAGGACCAGGGAGTGGTAAGGCAGGAGGTAACTGTGACTGCGACTGGACTGGCGGAAGACACTCTAAGGAGGGAGCAGGATCAAGGAGGAGGCAACTGACCAAGAACCTGCTGAAGGAGTTGAACGAAGTACGGCTGCGGCCGCGTAGCGCCGCCTAGAACCAGCAGAGAGACCACCAGTAGCCTCAGCTCCAGGGTCTCTAGCTATTGCGGCAGTAGGACCACCAGTAGTTCGAGCAGGGCCAGCACCTCCAGCACCAGCAGCAGCTCCAACTCCAGGGTCCTCAGCACCACCAGCAGCTCCAACTTCAGGGTCCTCAGCACCAGCAGCAGCTCCAACTCCAGGGTCCGCAGCACTAGTAGCAGCTCCAACTCCAGGGTCCGCAGCACCAGCAGCAGCTCCAACGCCCGGGTCCGCAGCACCAGCAGCAGCTCCAACGCCCGGGTCCGCAGCACAAGCAGCAGCTCCAACTGAGGGGGGAGGGGGTATACTACAGTAGCACCTGGAGCGAGGAAGAGAGGCGGGGGAGGGAGCGGGGTAGTGCGGTAGGGGAAGAGGCAGTAGTAGGGGACGGACTCGTCAAAAGTGACGTCCTGAGAAGGCAGGACATGGCGCGAGGTGGGGTGGTAAAACTGCCAACCAGACGCGTCCTGTGACAAAGCCAAGGAAGACACAAGGAACAAAGGCTCGAGATCCCCAAACCCGAAAGCGTGACGCATCGCCAACCTTGCCCGTCCAATGCAGTGTCGGAAGTCTCCGGAACGGAGACACGGGGCCAAAGGTTGAGCTGATGCGCAGCGTATCGGACTGCAAACGGCCACAGAATGTGTGGGGCAGCCGCATGGATCAAGGAGGTACGAGCGACCTCCATGACCAAGCCAATGCGGCGCTCAGCAATCCCATTCTGCTGTGGAGAGGCCGGAAGCGTGAACGACTGCTCAATACCCTCTTTCTGACTGAAGGCCTCTAGGAGGCCGGAGGAAAACTCCCCACCTCTGTCAGAGTGCAGATGGAGGACAGGAAAGTTAGAGTGGAACCTCTCGCTG